TTCCGAGATAATCGCGAAAAACGAAAGTGCCAAAAAAAATTAATTCAATATATATCTTTATCTTATTTATACTTATTATCTAATTGGAAATGAGGGATAATCCCCCCTAAGACTTATTGGGGTTTCACTGAGAGCATTGCTCCTATCACTGTTGGAAGTGAGGATGCTGACATTAAAACCTTTTATTTTCAGTCGCTCCTCATTTTCCTCTTCGTTTTAATTAGAAAAAAAATCGATTGTAAATAGCAATAAATCAATGGAATAAATAGAATTCACTTTTTTGTGCTCAATGTAAAGTCATTATCTAATTGGAAATGAGGGATATTCTTCTGCGATACATATACTTACCTTAATCGGAAATGATGAGAAAACGGCAATAACATCCTCATTTCCGATTACTTTTTTTTTTTATAAGAATTGAGGAGTCATTTCCGCCAGAGTGATGCCTCTAAAGATGGTTTTGAACCAGGGGAGACTCCTAGACCCCAATGTTCTATACATACTCCTAGACCCCATTGTCCTCCTAGACAATGATGTCACAACTCTGCTTTTCAATTGAAAACAGATATCATCTTTAGAGACATTTGTCATGTTTAGAGGCTCTAGCACGTCATTTCTCGACCCGCTCTTTCATTTGAGCCACAAAAAACATTCATATCTTTTTCTGACATCTCTGCTACACNGAGGCTCTAGCACGTCATTTCTCGACCCGCTCTTTCATTTGAGCCACAAAAAACATTCATATCTTTTTCTGACATCTCTGCTACACACTCTAGTCATCAACTCTGGTTTTCAGTTGAAATTGGAATTGTTAATTTACACAATAATAGGAGCGCATTGACGATTTTTTCTTAACTCGCAAAAATCTTCAAACAATTTGTTACCGATTGGTGATAAAATTTTTTGGAAATAATGAAATCGGGGGGATAACGCCTTTTTTTTCAATGGTGATTTTTCAAAAATTTATTTTAAAAAAGTACTAACTATCAAATGTTTTTTATTAGTTCGCATTTTGTTTCAAAACTACTTCAATGAGTAAAAAAATAAAAATTTGGAATATCTATACATGAGGGGCTAATTGATCGGTTCTCGACGATCATTGTGGTATAGTGGGACCCATGGCGCCACCCAAAATTAATATCGACTGCAAATAAAACTGATGAATGCATTTTCTACTCTACCGACACTGTTTGACCGACTGCAAGGACCGTGCACAGATGTTGTTGTGTACAGTTGTTCCCTCACATTTTTCATAAATCTGTGACAGCCGTAGATGCGATGTGTACAGTTACGGAAGTACGAAGTCCCCCCACCCGTGTTCCCAAACGGAGTGTGACCACCTGAGTTGTACAAACGACCCCCCCTCCCTTTTTTTTTGCTACACGACACAAGCCACTGCAAACGCAAACGTGTCTTCGACTCGTGCGGATCCCCTCTGACAGCGTCTGCTGTCTACGAATGGTTTTAACTCAATTTAATCATTTCTCCATATTGAAAATGATGGATTAATGATGGGAGATCGTCCTCTGGGGCTGTAACGCGGAATTGAGTGTCTAATTGGGGCGCGTGGAGTGGAAAGCCATCGAAAAGAGTACATAACCTACTACTGTGTTTATATCCATCATTCAAGCACTTCCACGAAGCCGGAGAATGAGTGGAGAAACACAAATATCGAACATTGTTAACGAGATTCTGGTGAGCATTGCCATTACTTCACGAATTAGCAATTGAGTTAATTAATTGAGAGCTGATGAACGAGAAGTTTTTCTTTGCATTGTTCAGAAAGTGGAGGCTATCGAGGAGGCCTTCAGCTGTGTCCTGGTGCACAATTTGGACAGCGAACTCGCGAAGACGAAATCATGGCAGACGGAGTTGAGTGTGGCCATGGGGAAACTCCCTGCGGACCAGCAGGACGCGGCTGTGAAGCAGTTCCTCTTACTAGCAGCAGGAATGACTAATCATCGACGCTTGCAGATGCTGCTGGGGCTCCTGGAGGGCCTAGTGAGCGGCAATGTCTTACCTGCAAGGTAAGGTTATCAAAGAACTAACACTGGAAGCCATTCCAAATTTGTTGGAAAATTGAAATGGCAGACAATATTATTCCATTCTTTTATTTCAATACTTTCAGGTTTAAGTTTAGGTTTATCTTTCTTATTTTAGGTTTATAAATAAAAATTATGATTGATTCGAAATAACGCATTGTTGGAACACTTTACGAAATTTACAATTTTATGAAAAAAATCAATGGACACTATAAATTTCAGTTCAAATATTCCACAAAAATTTATATAAATCCGTAAAATTCAGGTAAATATATTCTTGAATTTTTCATTAATTGAAAATTAGCATTATTTGGTTTTGAACATTTATATTTTGATTCGAACTTCAAATGAATTGATGAATTCTTGTTTTCCTGCTCAAAAATGTGGAATGTCATTGAATTTCTCGTGACATTTGAAATTCCATGATTTGTTCCCCCCAAATTAAATTCAATGTCACTCTTCTAAAAATTCCAACTAAATTGTCCCTGAAATTTCAATTTACCCCTAGTGCATTTCCATTTCTCCCATAAAATGTCAGCCAATTCCACCCAAAACTGACATCTCTCCCCTCTCCCCTGTTCCAGAATGGTATGCGAATCAATCCTAAGTTGTGAGAAACTAGTCTACGACCTGCAAGACTTCTGGGTAGAATGTTTCGGTTTAATCCGCCGAATAACCAGTGGCGTGGACTACAAAGGCGTCCGAGAAATAATGCGCGGCTGCATAGAGAAAGCCCAGACGATCCCAATCCGGCTTAACGCCTCAGTCCAGCCGCAACTAAAAGCCCTGGAATACGTATTCGAGAACATTTTCGACAGGAACACCTCTCTCCTCCCCAGCTACTTCATCATAACCGAGATCCAGAAGGTCTACCCAGACAACAAAAACTGGCCACATTGGAAATTGGCTTCACTTCTCTCCAGCTTCGTCGAGAGTTTTCGTCCAGTGGCTCAAATGGTCTCTAAAATAGGCCACTCAAAGATGCTGCCAGTTGTTGAGCACACTGGCTACGCCGACTACCCGATAAATCCCTGGCTCCTGGACCCAACAACCCTGAAATTTTCGCTGAAAGGAAGTCTCCCATACGATGCTGACCTCCTTAAACCTCAAACCGAACTCCTTCGCTACGTTTTAGAGCAACCCTACTCCAGAGACATGGTCTGCTCGATGCTGGGTCTCCAGAAGCAGCACAAACAGCACTGTGTAGCCCTAGAAGACCAAATGGTTGAGCTGGTGATCCTGGCCATGGAGAGATCTGAGAACGACGCAGTTCAGGCTGAGGGAGTGGACGGAACAGTGGCGAATCACTGGGTCTGGTTGCACCTCTCCTCCCAGCTGATCTACTTCATCCTCTTCCAATTCGCCTCCTTCCCGAACATCGTAAAGGCCATTCACGAAAAACTAGCAGCTAGAGACTTGAGGAAGGGAAGGGACCACTTGATGTGGGTTCTACTGCAATTCATCTCAGGCAGCATTCAGCGAAACCCCCTGGCCAATTTCCTCCCAGTCCTGAAGCTCTACGACCTTCTCTACCCTGAGAAGGAGCCCCTCCCAGTCCCAGATTACAATCAAGCCCTGTGCACCCACCAGATGGCGATCACTTGCATTTGGATTCATCTACTGAAGAAGGCTCAACTGGAGCATGCGAATATCCATCGACCCATTCCAACAGCCTTGAAGGCCCACCACGAATTCCTCCAGCACTTGGTGATGCCAAATACGTCCTTGTGCATGGGATCAGACTACAGAATAGCCCTTTTATGTAACGCATATTCAACTTATCAAGAATATTTCAGCAGACCCATGGCAACACTAGTCGACACTGTCCTAGGGACACAGAAGAACCAGCAGCAGCAGCCACTGCAGTCAAACCTCCAGAACAATGCGGCACTGGCAACAGGTCCAATAACACCCCTGTCAATGTCCATCCTGGACTCCCTGACTGTTCACTCGAAGATGAGTCTAATTCACAGCATTGTCACTCATGTCATCAAGCTAGCCCAGTCGAAAAGTAATATGCCACTGGCGCCAGCCCTGGTGGAAACCTACTCTCGCCTCCTAGTGTACACCGAGATCGAGAGTCTGGGGATCAAAGGGTTCATAAGCCAATTGCTCCCCCAAGTCTTCAAATCCCACGCCTGGGGCACCCTCTACACTCTCCTAGAGATGTTCTGCTACAGAATGCACCACATACAGCCCCACTACCGTCTCCAGATCCTCTCTCATCTCCACAGTCTGGCAGCTGTTCCCCAGACCAATCAGACTCAATTGCATCTCTGTGTGGAGAGCACAGCCCTGAGGATGATCACCGGGCTGGGATCTGCTGAGGTGCAGCCCCAACTCTCCAGGTTCCTCTCAGAACCCAAGACACTAGTATCATCGGAGTCTGAGGAGTTGAACAGAGCTCTAGTTCTGACCCTAGCGAGATCCATGCACGTGACTGGAACAGGCTCTGACCCCGTCGGTGGCACCTGGTGCAAAGAGTTACTCATCACAATCATGCAGAATACCCCGCACTCCTGGGCCATCCACACCCTCGACTGCTTCCCCCCAGTTCTCAGTGAATTCTTCAAGCAGAATAGCGTCCCCAGGGAGAACAAACAGCAGATAAAAAAGGCTGTTGAGGAGGAGTACAGAAACTGGGCGTCAATGAGCAACGAGAACGACATTATAGCTCACTTCTCAGTGCCTGGTACACCTCCCCTATTCCTCTGCCTCCTGTGGAAGATGATTCTGGAGACAGATCGTATCAGTCCCATTGCCTACAAAATTCTCGAGAGAATAGGCGCCAGAGCGCTCTCCGCTCATCTGAGAAAATTCTGTGATTACCTAGTCTTTGAATTCGCCAATAGCGTGGGGGGACAGCACGTCAACAAGTGCGTGGACACGATAAATCACATGATATGGAAGTACAATATTGTTACAATTGACAGGTTGGTACTCTGTCTGGCACTGAGAACGCAAGAGGGTAATGAGGCGCAGGTATGCTTCTTCATCATTCAACTGCTCCTCTTGAAAGCCGCTGAATTTCGAAATAGAGTTCAAGAATTTGTTAAAGAGAACTCCCCAGAACACTGGAAGCAGTCCAATTGGCACGAGAAGCACTTGGCATTTCACCGAAAATTTCCTGAGACTTTTGCACCAGAGGGGATTATGGATCAGACGAGTGGGGGGCCAAGTCAGTATCAGAATCTGCCTGTTTACTTTGGCAATGTCTGCCTGAGGTTTCTACCAGTCTTCGATATCGTTGTCCACAGATATCTGGAGATTCCCCCGGTTATCAAGAGCCTGGAGATCTTGCTGGAGCACCTGGGGTGTCTCTATAAATTCCACGACAGACCAGTCACCTATTTATACAATACTCTTCACTATTACGAGAAGAAACTCAGGGACAAGCCACAACTCAAGAGGAGACTGGTGGCAGCTGTGCTGGGGTCGTTGAGGGAGATCAGGGCACCTGGGTGGGCCCTGTCAGAGCCCTTCCTCCATTACATGTCGAGAGTACCTGAGGAGGCTGTCTCATGGGTGCCAGAACTCGACTACTACATCAGACTCGTGAGGAGAATCGTCGAGACGATGTCAGGGACTCCACACTTTCCCTCAGTCGACTGGAGGTTCAATGAATTCCCTAATCCTGCAGCTCACGCTCTGTACGTCACCTGCGTCGAGCTCATGGCAGTCCCTGTCGCCCCTAATTCCGTTGCCAATGCTCTACTGGACGTCGTTGCCAAGGGCTTCACTGTCATTCCTTCTAAAGACATTCATCTGTGGATCAACTGTGTCGGTCTGCTGATGGCTGCACTACCTGAGTGCTACTGGGCTGCTTTCTACGATCGATTGGTCCTCACCATCAGCAGTCCTGGGCTGGCCAAGTGGCAGTACCACAATTTGACGCCCTTTCAAATGTTCAATTTTGATGTCACTCATAATTGTTTGCTTGAAAATAAGTACTCGTACATACTGGCGCTGGCACATTCCATCTGCCATCATGCTGGGGTGGGGCATATCACGACGATGCCACAGTTCGTTAAGGAAAAACTGCAGCCCGCTGTCACCAGTGAGGAACAGCTCATCTTTGCTTGTCATCTCATTGGGCCCACTCTCGCACGATTCAATGTCGAGAGGCCAAAGTGCGTTGTGGAGCTGACAGTCAGTCTCTATGAGATGCTCGAGCAGATCGACAGGACACAGGCCATGCTGAAGTACATGGATCCTGTGTGCGATCTACTGTATCACATCAAGTACATGTTCGTTGGGGACATGATGAAGACTGATATCGAGTGCATCATCAGGAGGTTGAGACCAGCACTGCAGATGAGGCTGAGGTTCATCACTCATCTCAACATCGAGGAGATCCAGATGAACTGAGGGGAGGACTGTTTCAAGGTTTGAAGTGCATATTGAATATTTCATTGTGCGTTCATCGTGAAAGTGACTTTAGGGGACATTGATTTATTAGCTGTGGTTGTTCGCGAACGACTGACGTAGTTTTAAGAGATTTTCTATTTTCTGTTGATCAGAGTATGATCAGCGGATTTTTTGTATCAAAATAGGACCGTAAGTTCCTGCATATCCATTTATGGAGGATTTATTTTACAATTTTTAAGAGATGATTGTATAATTGGAAATTTTAACGTAAATATATTGCAGTATTGACTTTTTGAATCACTTGGGAGTTGTGGGGGGAGGAGGTAACGGTCATATTTTGATTTTATCTCCACCTTTTTTTTCCGTTCTCTACCAAGAAATTACATTTACATTCATGCTTTACTCCGAGGAAATTGAGGGGGAAACGATCTTTGCGTTGTTATTTGTTACTATCTCAGTGGTAACGAATTTTGTAGACGAAAATTCAGGAAAAAAAACTTCAATCGTTTTTAATTGATATCGCGTTGCAGCAAATGGAAACTGATGAATTACAAAATGATTTGGATCTAAATACTGAATCGTGGCGCTCCAGTATAGATAAAATAATACTGAATACTGAAAAGAATTTGAATCAACTCTTTTTAATTATATTTCGTAATAGTCGGCTCACGTGTTATCTCAGACAACGGATAAGATGAATGCTAACGAATTACTTGAGCAATTTACTGGAAATTTATCCTGCCAGGAGATCGTTGAGTTATTAGTGGAGCAATACTGAGATTTTATATAAAACCGAAGAAGAAACTTCACTTATATTGATATATGCAAGATTTATATTACAATTTTGAGAGTGAATTGTACATTTGAATGAACGTGCGGTATTTCAATTCTCCTTGCATCATGTGGCATTTATCCATGAATTTTAGAGATCATTTATCTGTTTCTCTTTTCCCTCCTCTGATTTATCGTTTTCTTCTCCCAATTGCTCATTCTCTTTCGAAGGTGTCTGCTCAGAATTGTCAGTCGACTCGGGTAATTCTGCGGTTATTTCTATTCCATCGATGTGAATACGTGGTATATTGGTCCCCCTGAAATACAAAATTCGGTGTTATACTCAACAATCGCATTTCATACTGAAAAATCCAATATTATTTGTGAATTTACAATTTGGCTACATCCGAGTCCTCACTAATCTCTCTCTCCGAGAGAACTTCCTTCGGAGACAGTGGATCCATAGGTAACGATGATGGTTCTGCGTCGGTTGTCTCGTCAGCTTCAGACGTTAAATTGCGAATTCTCTCGATTGCTCCTTTACGTTTTTCTTGGAGAATATTACCAATCCCTGAAAACCAATCATTTTTTTATTTTCTGTTGCGAGATTGAATGCCAATATAATCAAATTCTCTATTCTAATAAAATTCATATCAATCAGGAAGGATGGACGTTGAATAATTGATTCCAATTTTTGTGCAGCATTTCGAAGAATTTCAGTGAACATTAAGAAATATTCTTATTGGGTTTCTTTTTATCGTAGAGAAGAGAGAAGAAAATGAACGCGTGACACATTTTGGCCATCTCCCTTTCATTATAGATATTCACGAATGTTCTCTGTAGAGAATAGTAACCTTTTGAGATTTTCAGTGTGTCCGAAGCTGCTGTTCTTCCTGTTCTTCCCGTCGGCGGTAGTATTTTCTTCCACTTTGCGAAGGGAGTATCCTGCGCTTGTCCCCTTTTCTCTGCGATTTTGAACATTTTTCGTCGCTCCTCGGTCCTCTCATACCGCAATTGAATCTTGAGATCGTTATTGGCTTCTCTGAGAGAGCCTGTTAGTGAGACCATGTAGTAAATTATCAATGTCATCAGGACGATGAGGGGAATCACGATACCGGGGGATGCGATGTAGTCCAAAGCCCTGAAAATATTCAAACCCATTCAATCGAATTGAATTCATTGATGAAATCGACTGCATTCGTTTCTCAATACTCACTTGTGAGCTTTTCGGGGTAGCGTGTCCTTCAGACTTTGCGTCGCCATGTAGTAAATCCTGTGATATCCGGCGAAAGGCCCGCAGTGCCAGGAAGGCTTGACCCAGACGATAGCGTATCCCACAGGGAGAACGCAGAGGAATAACATCGTGAGGAGCAATGCGAGATAAAAATTATTGGACCTGAATTACGGAATGTTTCGATTAATTCCTTCCCGACTTTTTCTTCATGATTTTCTTATTTTAGAGAAGCATTCAATCGAAAAATAGCAGTTTCATTCGGAAAATTTATTGATTTTCTATTGAAATGCAAACCACAAGCAAAAAAAACAATAAATAAAATTCTCATAGAAAGTCACTCGATTCACGAAAATAATTTACCTCGAGGCTTTGAACGCAAACCAGCATTCAATTGAAGAATAGCAGTTCCATTGGGAAAATTTATTCATTTTCCATCGAAATGCGAACAACAAATAAAATCTACAAACAAAAAATACAACAAATAAAAAACAATAAATAAGATTCCGAGAGAAAGCCACTCGATCCACGAAAATAATTTACCTCGAGGCTTCGAACACAAACAAGAATTCCATTGAAGAATAGCAGTTCCATTGGGAAAATTTATTGATTTCCTATTGAAATACAAACAACAAATAGAAACAGCAAACAAAACAAAAACAAATAAAAACAAAATTCCTATAGAAGGCCACTCGATCCACGAAAATATTATAATTTACCTCGAGGCTTTGACCGCAAACAAGCATTCAATTGAAAAATAGCAGTTCCATGGGGAAAATTTATTGATTTCCTATTGAAATGCAAACGACAAATAGAAATAACAAACAAGAAAAACAAATAAAAACAAAATTCTCAATAAAATTCCCGTAGAAAGCCACTCGATCCACGAAAATAATTTACCTCGAGGCTTTGAACACAACTTCATGTGGCACATTGCACGTCATGACCGCCCAAGACCTCAAGTACATGAGAATCCCCAGCTTGACAAGATTGAGAGCAGTCAACCCAGGACTGAAGAACATCCCCATCCACACCATCCCCTGGTTATTAACCAAATGCAGGATATTCTCCGCAATCTTGAAGTCCCCGTACTGCGGAAACTTCTTCTCCAAATCCCAGCACCACCAGCTGTGCGTGTACCTCACGAAAACGGCTCGAAGAAAGTCCACCCCCAGCGTAGCAATGATCGTGAGGACTAGATCCATCATCGTGAGCTTGGCCAGCTCCTGCCCGAACATCGTTTCCCAGCACAGTTTCCTCAGCTTTCGTTTAGTCGTTATATTGAGTCTCGAAATAGCTGTGAGACTCACTTGAGTGTTTCTCCTGTCTTCCCCCCAGGAATCCGGGGTCTCGCACACACCACAACCCTTGACGACACATTCCCTCAGTTTTACTCCTCGATCGGGAGATTTGGTCGTCGACAGTTCCTCAGGAACAGCCTCTTGTTCAACGGTTGCGGAATCATTCGAGCCCTCAGTCGACGTTGAGACTTCGTCGTAATTAATGTTGACATCGTAATCGTCGTAGTTGTCCTGGGGGTTTTCGGGCTCTTGTCCCTCGGGGTAAGACCACCTCCCTCGATCGTCCTCTGGTGGATCGAACGTTCGATTCTCAGCCACCGCGGACACGGTTGAATTCTCCTCTAACGTCATCAGGGCGTCGTAATCCATGGATCCGTCGACGTTGATCAGAGTTTCGCCGAGAAGATCGTTGGCGCGCGGCTCGAAGGCGTTCGTTTGGAGTATTGAGTTTTCCGTTGAGTTTGGAGCCATGATCAAGCTCATTGCTGCTAGGCCAGTGGTCAGCATCCTCGACTTTCTCGAGGAGGTGGAGGTGGTCATGACACCTGATGGGAACTCCCCACAGGGAACTTTAACGTCTCGACAGCGAGAGCAGTTCCACGACATGGAGAAGGCAGGGACTTCGGCCTTTGGTTTCAGCGCCTGCAGCTCCTCTTCCATGTGGCTTATCTTGTCGAAGAGGGCGATGATCAGGGAGTAGAGGTTGAGGAGGTTCAGCAGCATGATCCTCGCCAACTGCACCCTCAACTGCTTCCTCGGGTGGTAGTTCTCGGCGAATCCCAGGACTTCGAAGAATATCGGGAAGATGAAGGAGATCAGGGACATCACTACTGTTATCTCGTTCTGCCTCCACCAACTGCTTGTCGCCTCTGGCTGCATACTCCTCGCTACTAACTGCACTACTGCGTAGGCGGATAATGCCAGGAGGAAGATCACTGCGAGGTTCACGAGAATTCGAACTGTTGTGATTTTCCAGCTGGCGAGGGGAAGAATGAGGTGAGGGAGTGAATTGGGAGCAGTTTAAGGATGTACTACACCCTTTCAGCCGAAATTCACGTTTTTCTTCATTTTTCTGGCAAATTATTCATCGGATTAACGCGAAATAATATACCGTTTTTGCGTTTTATCATTACTTAATGACTCACGAAATTTCATGGTAGTGCAATCATTTTCCTGCATTTTTTCTAAAGTTTTGTGAATTTCCGTTAAAGTTTTACAAAAAACGCAGGAAAATTATGTCACGGAATTTTTCCAAAGCGTTTCGTCATTTTTATCTGAATCTCCCGTGAATAATTACGATACCGTCATTTAAATTTTCTGAGTCGATTCCGTAATCGGTGAGTGAATTGTGAGTTCTGTAATTTTTACTGAACCTTTCCCTCCGTGTGGAATGTTCGATTAAAATTGAACATTTGTGAAAGTGAAAAACAAATCACGAAATCAAAAGAGCCACGCGAAAATTCAATTCCGAGGGAAATACAGACTGTCCGAGTTGTTTTTCCTTCTCCGCTTCTTCCAGAAGTGCTTCCTTGAACCCTACGATGGTGCTCGCTACCCTGTTGTGTGCAGTCTCCGTATTCCCAATCATGAAGTCCCACCCTGTGAAGAGTTTCCAGGAGAATGCACACTCGTCTTCCTTCTCCGATAATTTGCTCATCCGCGAATTTTCCGCCATTCTGAAGAGCCAAGCGATGTCAATTAATTTTATTATGCAATTGATTCTATTATTATTCTATTGTGAACAGCGAGATGATGAATGAATTATTCATTACTTGCGCAATATGGCGACGAAGCTGTACGTATAAATCACGAGATTGGCGAGAAAATATGCCAGCGGCATTCTGTATCCCACGTCCTCAGAGTTCCGATTGGTGTACCATCCGTAGAAGAATGGGGAGTACTTGATTATTCCCTCGAATTCCCAGAGTGTCAGCAAGTGGGTGGCCTTAGCCTTCACTTCCGGAGGCATGATCTTGCGATCTCCCGCCAAATTCTTATCGGCCGTCAGAATTTCCGGGACCGCGACGAAGACAGTCAGTATCAGGGATATCACGAGGTTGATCCAGAAGAGCCAGCGGAGGAAAATGAAGTAGGAGGCGACCGCAGAACCGAAGTGAGACTCGATTTCTTTTATTCGGAGCTCCCAGGGCACCACCCACGTCTGCAGGTTGACGATTTCTCGCCGAAAGTACTGCCATTTCTGCAGCCGAAAGGATAATGCCTTATTTTGACGTTTCAAAAAAATATTGGACTAGTGTTTTTTTATACGGATAAATCATGGAAAATTAACGAGTTACGGACAGTTCGTTTATTGACTATAACTCCTTAAGGATGATTATCCAAAATCGCAAGTAAGAGCCTGGGTATGAGAAAAAATTATTTTATTCATTTCTACCAAGACTATTGCGATTAATTTTTTTTAACGTTAGAAAAGTTAGTTTTATATGCTCTGCTGTCAGCCGCAAAAATTGCAGAATTTTCCTTGACCATGAAAAAAGACACATTTATCGACAGTATACCGACACTGGCTAAAAATCGTTAATTTTTCATAATTTAAAAAAATAAAAATACAGATCCATTTTTTTTAAATCAATTTTTTTGGATTTTGAGATGAGAAACAAATCAAAATACAGCGAAAAAAATATTTATGCTCAAGATATTTTGCATAAAAAATCTCAAGACAACAAGTGATTTAAAAATCGAAAACTAATCATTTTCAGGCAGCAAAATTCTTAGTGTGAAAGAATACGAATTGAATTTCCCTGTGAAATTGCTGGGTATTAACTCCACGAATTTCAAAGACCCTCACCTTGTTCATGAAAATCGAGACCTGCGCTAGAACATCTCTGGTGTTCCTACTCTGAGCGAGTCGCACCTGAAGAGCACCCTCGTGCCTTCTGATGTACGACTTTGCTTGTCTCACTAATTTCATTTTTTTCCTGAGCGTCCACGGCTGATGTTTGACAGCCCCCAAAACCTCCTTATGAACCTTAAGCTTTTCAAAAATCTGCTGCTGCTTGACCCTCTCCTCCGTGTCCTCCTCCATCCCGTCGATCGAGATCGCTGTGCTTAAACAAATCGCAATTGCAATTCTCGAGGAATCGAAACTAGAATCGGTAGAGAAGTGGTCAAATTTTTCTAACTCGTGTTTTTTTCCGTAATTTCTATGAATTTTTCAAATTAAAAGAGGGGAAAAATTGAGCGAAAAACCCCTTCAAAAACTAATGTCTAGAAATTCTTGTAGAAAATCGAAAAATGGCGAAAGTTGTACAGAAAGATGACATTTTCTAAAAAAAAAAACCGCGCAGTAAGTCCGCAGAATTCCCCTAGAAGTCCAGACTAAATCCAATAAAATCTTCCATTGAATTCGCAACGTGTTTCTACGAAAAAAGTTCGCCACTTCACTATTGAAATCAATCCACCTACTCTCCAGAGCTCGTAGTAAAAACTGAAGAGCGTCTCCTGGAGCTCCCAGGGACGTCCGCAACGTCCTCACTCAAAAAGCCAGAGGACCCCCTCTTTTTCCTTCTGCTGGACCTCCTGGAGGGCTTCCTCTGCAGCATCGCAGACACCGACACCGAGTAGTCATCGTCCTCCTCCTCCTCGGCAGTGTCAACCCTGCCGACGTGCGCCAGCAACGTCGGGGACAGTGGCATCTCCTCGAACACCTCGGAGGAGCCCCTCCACGTATCCTCGCTCCTGGGGAGGTCCTCGACCAGCGCAAACGTCACAGAGTGGCGTTCCCCCTGGCACGTGCACACAATGACAAAAAATTTGAGCGAAAAGATGAACTGACACTGAATTTCAACCGAACACAGCGAGAATAATCCCACCGCTGCTAGACGCGGATTTAGTTTGAGTCCCTCAAGTACACGTGTTGCAGCCACACCTGGCTACACCCTCGGCTAATCACTGCTGAAACTCGCACATCCCCTCTCTGAATACTCGTTTCAAGTGTGCGTGACACACGCCATTATTAGGATATTCACGAAAATCACCTCATCGACATGATTCCCTTGTTTCGATGGAGATTAATCCTCACTGGATGGGGTCAGTTATTCGGTGTCATTCGTATCCTCTTACAACACGCACGTGGAAATGTTGGGGATCATTGTGGGCACGACCAATCATTAACTTTTGGACGATGTTAATTCCGCTAATGTGAGCGATTGATTAACACCGGTTAATGAATTTTGGCCGATAAGTATAGCAATCATAATTTTGTTCAGCCTGAATTTATTCATTTTTTTGTTGGTTTTTAATGGGGCGAGAGAAAAATGGGATGAGGAAAAATTGAAATGGTCATTTGGAGGGATTTCTAGCCAGAAAATTTCGCGACAAAATTGACATTTCAGAAAATTTGAGCAATCGCTGCGTTTGAATTTTAAAGGGTGCGGGTTTGAATTACTTAGTCTTCTTGGAAAGTCAATGAAATGGAGATTTTTTGTTCTTATTGGTGTGTCGATGACAGCGTGAATTCTACTCTTTTAATTTTTTGGCATATGCCAGAAATTAACAATATGAATAGAAATGCCATACGAATTAGGTGTTCATTGTTTTCAAATTTTAGCTGAAATTTTCATATTTTTCTGACAGTGTTGTTGAAAATTTCACCATTTGTCACTTGAAATTTCGGAAGTAATTTTCTAACAGTAAATCCAATTCATTAGTGAGGTCAATCGGTTTATGTCGACTTAGCTCCCAGTTGAGTTTTCATTGAATAACTCGGAATTTAAGAAAGAAAGCGAAATTTTTGTAAGATCTGTTTCGATAGTCTTCGCTGTTCTTTACAAAAAAGATTTTTAGAAAAATTCAGTAGCGAAGTGGTAAAAGGAGATAAGTGCATTTTTTTTTTCGAAATTCGTAATATTATTATTCCCACTTGAAAATTAATATTTCACTGTGACTCCCGCAAAAATTTTTACTTTTTTTTTTTAAATTGAATTTTGCTAACTTCTTTGAAAATTGAGATATTCGAGAACTGGCGCTAGAATGGAGTCGACTCAAACCGTTTGACCACTTCACTACTGAATTGTAAAAAGCGCCTGTGGGAGCGTTTGAGCGACTTTCTATTCCTCTTTATCCATCAGACCAAAAATTTACGAGGTCGAGTTGAAACCGTGAGAATATCGCGTGTAAACGTCCCCATAACGAAAAAAAAAAGTGATTGAAAAATGTAAATCGGCAAATTTCCTGAGCATTAATTATCCCCGAACGCCAGTGACCAGTGATTTCGCTCACGAAGAGTTTTGATGCCGAATGAGATTACCTGTGGCGACGGCAAAGACGTGAATGACGACCGCCTCCGGTTGATTGAACCGACGCGTAGTATTCCCACCCCTAATTCATCCTTCGCCAGACCATTGGGTTTCTCCCCGTGTTTATCCTCCTCGGTATCCATTTGGCCCTCCGACCTTTATCGAAATTGGAAATAGAGGGGGAGGAGAAAATTGACGTGATAATGGGATTTGAACGCCCCGCTGGTCACTACTCTAATGACTTTGCGTATCCCCCTTGTGCCTCGGTGCTGAAACAATACGCCGGCGTCGTTAAAATCCTGGGTAGCCGCACCTCGTCTAACTGGTGACCATCCACACCCTTGATTATTAGCTCTTCAGCATTGCCGTTGTTTTACATTCATTTTTTTTTTTTTCATAGTTACCCTCGAGGATTATCGATTCACATGGCGAAAATTGAAGTGGCCTCATTCGCACCCTCGCACGACTGCACCCCCAAATTTTTTCTCAATGTAGAGTCAGACTTTGTCGCAGACTGAATTCCCAGAACTTTAATGAGGGTGAATGGTCTCATTATTCCCCAGGAATTCTTTGAATTTTTTTCACATTGTAATTACACGGAAGTTTCGAGGAATTCCGATATTTAAAATTCTAAATTTCAGGGAAAAAATTCGAGACTGTAATTGTGAAGTTCAGTTCGGTTGAGGAATTCTCGTTTTTCTGCTGCTTCAGAACATGAAATCTCATTAAATTCTTGAAGTAGGAAATTTTAGGATTTTTCAGCCTAAATCGAGTTTGTCATTCCGCTGCAAGTGAAATGTCCCTGAAATTTCATTTTTTTTCTACAAGTGTATCCTTGTAACTGAAGCTCTTATTTTTCACCGAAATTGACGAATGCAAACAACTAATCGAGTTGTTACTTGAAATTTGTTTATTGAATAAAATTATGTAAAATATTAGATAGTATTTTTTTTATCATAAGACTAAGAAGTTACAGCTAATTGACGAAACGTCTGTATTATGACGTGATTTTGATGTCGACATTTTGAATAGCCTATAATTTATTAATTTTTCGTTATTCATCGATTCATATTTTTCCTCCAATTGTCGTATTCAATGATAGAAAAATTGAATGTAAAACCATAATCTGTCATTTACTATCTAAAAACTTGTTGAATAGGGAGAGAATGAATGAACACATGACGATTATTCCCCAAAATATCATTCAAATATTCTTGAAAAAGACGAAAATACTTTACACAAATAATGAATTATCCTACAGCAATTAGTCTTGATGTATTCCAAACAACCTGGAACTGGAAACAATACACTGACAAAAACAAAGGTTTTTGAGAAATACGTCGTTACTTATATTAAGAAGAAACTTCTGAATTGAAAATTTTCAAGAGTAAAATATCCTGCACTAAGAAAATAAAAACTTTCGTCATGTAATTTTGTATTTATCCTAAAGCCGAGAACAATTTCTTGATGACAAAAGTGCGATTTCTCGAGAGGTTTTTTTTTATTAGTGTGAGATATTATGCCTCTGGTAATTTTCAAGTCACGAATTTCTTGATACAGTGGTTACTCCCTAACATTTCGATTCCTTAACATTTCAGTCGGAGAAGTTGACTTCCCCCACCATCGACAACGTAAATGTGCCTGGGTAAATCTGATTAAACAGGCAGATTCTTTCTCTCTGTTGATCTCTTTCCTAGCGCCGCCTCCAACGAAAGAGTAAGGGCTTCCCGAACATTTAAAGTAGCTCTACCCTTCAACCGGGCTACGCTGTACTTTCGAATATTTTCAGTTTTAAAATTTTTCAACTAAATTGCATGGAAAAAATTTGAGAAAATTCATACCCAGTCAGTAATATCTAAATGAAATTTCGCAAAATATTGATATTTTTTCAAACATTTCCCTCTTATAAATAAATAATAAAACTTGTTTACAAAACGGTGGATTATTTTTTATGAGGTGTCAAAGAAATTCTCGATTTTTTCGCATCTAATGAAAAAAAAAATCGGATTTTAATCTTTGATTACAGTGGAAATGTTAGTTTTCACATAAGACACTGGGTTAAATCCTGATTTTTAAACATTTCTTCATTGAAAAACCAAAAGGATAATTCAGTGGCGAAGTGGTAAAAGGAGATAAGTCAATTTTGACTATTGACCAGTCTTCAATCAATATCTCGGAATCTAAGGGAGCGAAATTTTTGTTATAACCTTATTTGGGGAGCCAATTGAGTGCTGCAACAAATGTAGTTACGAAAATTTCGTTATCTGCCTTAGATTCTGAGATATTGATTGAAAACTGGTCAATAGTCAAAATTGACTTATCTCCTTTTACCACTTCACTACTGAATTAAATTGAGAAAAAAATTAGAATTCCGAATCTAAGTTTTCTGCGATTTTTTTGCAGTTTTCAATAATCTTTGAATTTACCGTAAGGGTAGAGCTACTTTAATTCCTTGAAGTCTGGCGCCAGAGGCTGAAATGTTAGGGAGTAACCACTGTACAAGTAAAGAAGAACTTCTCAATAAACTCTTGTTTTCTCAGTGTATAAATAAAATATTCTCCACTCTATTTGGTCGTGTGCCGTGCCCAGGTTTTTCGTTGTACTTGGCTCATGAGGTCATTTCGCGCTGGGAGACGAGCGCTGGTTGTCCTCGAGGGCGGAGGTCCCGGTGATCTCAGGATGGTCGCGAGACTGCTTTTAGGGATGTTTTTATCAATCGACTGGGATTCCCTGCTGGGGGTCTCCCTGGCAGGACTCCCTTGGGGTCTAGGGCTGTCCTGCTTCGGTTGCTCGGTCTTTCTTCCCTTGGGGGGTGGGTCCAGGGTGACCGTCGTCTGGGGAGGGCAACTCGCCCTCTGCTGCTGCCTCGAGTCCTGAGTGTCTCTGGCAAAGTGCAGGGAATTTCTCTGACGGGGGAGCGTGCAGGGGAGGGGTTTTATGAGGGCTTGAAGGTCTGATAATGCGTCCTCCGATTGGGAAGTGTAGCCCGGCATTTTGTTCGGCAGCACTGGAGACGAGGCGAAACTGTTCGCTTGGGAGAGCCTCATGGATGCCTGGGAATTCTGAAAAACATGTTCTTCGCTTATTCATCACGAAAATTCTTATTACAGAACGAAAAAAATTGACATTGGGGAGAGTACCATATCCGGGGCAACAAAAATTACAGTAAAATTGAAATTGTATGATAATCATTATTATTATTACACATGATAATCGGATTTTCAATTTCTGTCATTTATTCTGTTGATTCTATCAAAAGACGAGGACAGAAATCGAATTTATGGGTGTTCTTCCGTTATTCGAAAAAATATATCGATTTTAAAACTTTCCGGAGACCTTGAAAAATTGATTTTTTTATTTCTTGTCGCCGAGATTTTTTTACATTTTTTTTTCGTTTCTTTAAAGAAAAACAGGGATTCCAAGGTTCCACCGCTACAAATGAAGAAAAATAATTTTTCTCCATTTTCCAGGCGATCATCCCTTTTTAAAATTGTTTAGTCTCTCATTTGTAATTCTTGCAATTCATTGCCATTTAGGTAGTTCTATTCATCCTATCAGAAGATAAGAATAGCAATCGAATTTATACTATAAATTAATCTTCTAACATTCAAACATAATTAAATAAAATCTCTCTAGGAAGAAATTACAACACTTATAGCAGAGATTTGAAATTTCGTATTGTTGATTAGGAATTTCTAGGAGAGTGACATTGAACTCGATTGAAGATGAAAAAAAAAATGAAACTGCAAATTGTCCCGGAAATTAACAAATATATTTCTCCGTGTATTGGTGATCATTTTTTATTTCCACGGAAATGGTACTCGAGCCCCTGCCATAAATCCCAAATGAATTACCGATGGTTTACTAGTAGGGGACAGTAGAAAACTCGGTGCTGGCATGGGATAGGGTGAGGGTGTAGCGTATGGCGAGCGTTGCGTCTGATAGGGACTAATATTGTGCAATCTCTCGAGCAACTGCGTCTGAAAGTGCAATTGATCGTTCGACGCACCGTATCCCCCTAGATCTAGCCCCCCAGTACCGTAGAGGGGATCTGGTGTGTAAGAGTAGGTGAAAGACGGTGGCTCCAGCTCCCAGGGTGAGCCCTGGCCAGGTGTTCTCGAGTGAGACTGCAAGAAACATTCGATCATCAGATTAAAATCTGATCTGGATGTGCTAACGCATGGGGAAAAAAAATTAACGAAAAATTATGGAGAAAATGGAGTGAAAATTCACTGGAAATTCAATAGAATTCATTTTTTTTCAGAATTTCTCGTAAAAAACTTACGAGTTTTACTGTACACTTGTAAAAAATCATGTCAAAAAAGGGAAAATCAATTTTTTCTCCTCAACTTGAAAAGAAAATTCTTGAAATACACTGAGAGAAAAACGAAGTTCTCAAACAAGTCTCACTTGTGTCAAGAAAATAGTTTTTTTGAAAATTATCAAAAAAGGATTGTTTTGTGCCAAATATGCAGGGAGTGCGCCGGAATGAAAAATTTTTGTCGCAAAAATTGATTTAGTAGTTGAAAAAAAAATTGCATTCTCTGTACACGCAGGAAATGTTATTTATAGCACTACTCCTTCGTTATTCAATACTCCCTTACGTATTTTGCTCCCGAAAAATCTTTGTTTTATGCGAAACAAGGGATAGTAGTTTTTTGTTTCGGCTGTCTAATAATCGCAGACAACAATTGAACCCTTAAATGAAACAATAATAATGATATGATAGCAATTTTGTAACTTGGGGATAAAATATTTGTTGATAAATTTTCCTCTGTATGAGATATTTTCATCCTGAAAAGGCACCGTCTGGTGTGAATTATCCGCCTCCTGAGCCAAATATTTCATTGCTGTCCAAAGCAGAACAATTATTCATGTTTGAGACTCTCAAATTCGAACCAAACAGATTATTTTTTGGCAATTTTCAACTAGCGATTTTGTTGCACGGAGAGAAATATTCAATAAAAATTACGTATCTTTTCCGTAATTCCCGAGCGAAATGTGGGTGTAGAAAATTTTACGGAGCTTTCACGGAATTTTTTCAGAGCGTTCCATAATTTTTATGTGAATGTCCTGTGAAAAATTACGATACCATCACTTAAATTTTCTGAGTCGATTCCGTATTCGGTGAGCGAATTGTGAGTTTCGTAATTTTTACTGAACATTTCTCTCCGTGTGGTCCAAACAAGATTTGTTTGACAACGTGTTTGTTTTTCCCTCAGTGTACCATTTCCCTCACTAATTTTGTACAGTAATTTTTCGTCGTTTTTTTTTCTCCAGCTGATGTTGGATAGTTTGATAATCTGGAATTAGATGGTATCAAGGCAGTTAAGGGGTGAGTATTCAATAATTCATTACCTTGAGGTCATAAAAAATCCTGTTTGTAGGGTCTCTCCACGGTACCAGCAAAACAAATGGCAAATGAAACATCTAACAAAGTATCCACGTGCGTGAATACATAAACGTTGCTTTTTAGGCAGAGCCACACGAATAGTTTATTATTGGATTAGAGGCGTACGAAGGCAGCGTGGTGGCACAGAGTCGACCATAAAATTTCACAAACGTTGACTTGCCTATGTCTCTCTCTCTATCTTTCTCGATGCAAAGCAAAATTATGTCAGCAAAGACGACAGAGACTAATGTATATATGCGCAGTTTTAAACAGCCGAGTGGTATAAATAAAAAATATTTGGAGCAGGCAATTGAGTATTTTCCCCTCACCCTCTTCTCTTCCCCGTTTTCCAGCCCTCTTCACTATTAACGTCATTGCCCCCCCCCTCCCCCCCCACGTGGTCGAAGAATTCACATAAATTTTATCAGTTCAGTTGTCTTATTTTATTAATAAAAAAAATGTCGGTGTAAAAAAAATTAAAAAGCTAAAACAGTAGGCAGCTACAATTCGAGTTATTTAAAATTAATTAAGTGTAAATAATAAAATAAAAATAGTGAAAATGCATTGTCAGAAAAATTCTTGAGCTCGATGAGGTTTTTTTTTTGTTTTTCATGTCTGAGTATCACGGTGTCATTCGATAGAGCGTTACCTGACCGAGAGTGGACAGGTCGGGAACATTTGGTGATTGTTGATTCATGGGATTATTTGTTCCTTGAGCACCTTGTGACTGTACAGCACCGTGTATGCCAGATGCGCGCTCTTGCTCACGCAAATGACTCACTAGGGCACCAATGTGTTCTAAGAGCTCCTTATTCTGGACCAGTAATTGATGAGTCCTCGTCTGAAATTGCAGGGAAACAGATTGATTCTCGTTATTTCGAGGTTTCTCGAGGGATGTTCGAAGTTTTGGGAATTTTCGGGCGAGAAAAATTGTTTTTTTTGGGGGGGCGGAAGGGTGTTAGTTTAATTTCACAAGCGAAGCGGTAAAACGGTCTAAATCGACTCATCTCCCAGTTGAGTTTTTCGGGAATATTTCCAAATCTAAGGGAAATAGCGAAATTTTCGTAATTACGTGTGTTGTAGCTCTTAATCGGCTCTACAAAAAAGGTCATGACAAAAATTTTGATATCTCGTTTAGATTCCGAGATATTCATGGAAAACTGGGCAGTAGTCGAAATTTAATTGCGGGTTAACACTTCGCCACTGATTTCAATTACTTGAGCTTCGACTCTCGCTGCGGTTTCCGCTGCGAGTTGATCCTGGAGTAGCCTGGCATGCGCCACAGCTGCACGGGTCTGCTGGCCCTGCTGGTCCAAACGCTCCCTGAGTAATTGTATCTCATGTTTTAGAGAAGTCAACTCATTTCCGCCGAGTAGGAGCATGTCGCCGCATTCGGACGGAACTGTTCCCTGGAATGCGATTTTTTTTTGTGACAGGGTAAAGCACTTTGGATGATTGATACTTCGCGGCGGTTCTGTCCTCGGTTAATGAGGCGGAATGGCGGGTGCAATAATTCAGGGGGGAGGGCAGGGGCACAGCTTAAATTGACTTTTTCATTAAATTATGAATTCTCAATTATGAAACTCCTTGAAATTCCGGTGGAACTGTAGCATAATAAAAAATGTTTTAACGATGCATCTGAAGGGGGCAAAAGTGTCTCCATTCGCGTCTTTGGGTCTCAATTAAAAACACTATTTTTCCGTCAGTGAATTTCACCTGAAAAATAATTAAATTTCGTGACTACATACCGATGGCGATTTATTATATAATTATCTGGAATTCACAGTAATATGTTTCAATGCGAGTGTGGAAAATTCATTGAAAATTTAAGAATGTATTTTTCTTGATTGATTTTTGTGGGATAATTGAACTGAAATTCAGTTTCCATCGGCTTTTTCATTAAATTGTGAATTCTCAATTATGAAACTCCTTGAAATTCCAGTGGAACTATAACATAATAAAAACTTCCATGAATTCTATCGGAAATTTTAGCCAAAGTGTTTTAACGCTGCATCTGAAGGGGGCAAAAGTGTCTTCATTCGCGTCTGTGGGTCTCAATTTAAAACACTATTTTTCCGTCAGTGAATTTCACCTGAAAAATAATTAAATTTCGTGACTACATACCGATGGCGATTGCCTGATGGGCGATGCCGAGGAATGCGTCCTAATAATACAAGGTGCAACAGCAGGTGGTTGATCCACTCCCGTGTCCTCCCCATCCCCCATAAGTGATATGTCTTTGTGAACATTCGGCGATGGTGAGCGTGGCTGTATGATCGGCTGTCGATCATTCGTCATCTCGTCCTCGTAATCCTCACTACGAGACAGATGATCGTCGCTCCGCTCCCTCTCCTTATCAATTTCCTGATCGCGCTCCTCAGACGCCGCATTGATACTCAATTTATGGCACACCTCAAAGGCCTGTCCGACCGTTCTAACTACCCTCATGGCTTGACTCTACAATAAAAATCACCGGTAAAATTTTAAATCGTTAAATTCAATATTTACGAGACGATATTCCTCGATTTATCGTCAATAACTGTAATAATTTTAGACCGCAAAGTAATTTCCCTTCGTCATAAAATGTGTTTATACGTGTACGGAGAGAAACGTTGGAGAAAAATTATCTAGAAAATCTCGGAGTATTTTACTATTCGAAAGCTAATTGTGGAGCGAAATGTATGCTCTCTTGCATTGCAATAAATTACAGTAAAGTTTCCCGCACTTGGAGGGTTTTTTCTTCTTGCAATGTTGCGAAAGATGTGGGGACGGACGGGAGTGAAATTTTACTGCACCGCGTTTGGTAAAAAATAAAAAATCCTTCTCCGTTACGGAGAAATTGCAGAGAGATTACTTTGAAATTTGGACATGTAATTAACATCTCCAAATGTATTTGGATATTTTACGATCGCGCCCGCCGGGGCGAAAAATTCTTTCTTCATTACACACTGTTAGAAAATTACTCTTGACATTTCTAGTGCAAAAGCTTGAATTTTCACGTAATTCTCGATTTTTAGGTCCATACGATAATTAAAAACTTTGAAAATTTGAAAACTCCGGCAATAACTTCTCTGAATTTTCAATCTATTGAGAATAGAATTGTATGTGATGTTCGATTTTCACGACGAGTTTGGAAATCAAGCTTTCATTGAAAAATAAATGATTCTTTAACATGAGAAATTTAGTGAACGTTTTCATTTGAAATTGAATTCAAACTCACAACATTGAAAATTCAGATGACATTGTGACTGAAATTTCAAGAGATTTCTAACAGTGCAGAAAAATTCCCACACATTGAGTAATTATTCACGCTCACTCGCGTAATTTTTTATTCAATTCCGGGTAAATTTCACAGGTTCAGGACAAATTACAAATTCACTATTCGTCTCGCAATTTTCCCCTATGAATCTTACTCCAGGATTTCTTGATTTGTTTAGTAATTTTTCCCCAACTCTTCTCTTCGTGTGCACTGTTAGAAAAAAAAATGAAATTTTATGGGCTAAATACAATTTAGGGGGAAAAAAGTCATGAAAATTTAGTAAAATCCAGAATTCAGTAAATTTCAGAATTTTAAGGGGCATAAAGACGAGAATTCCTTACTTTATTTGAATTTCCAATCTTATATGAATATTCAATGTTAAATCGCATTGAATTTTCAGTGAAATCTGAAATTACACGATTTTTCCCCCTAAATCGCACTCAGTGCCACTATCTTGAAAATTCAAGATTACATTTACCAGAATTTTCTAGTTTTCTCTTAATTTTCAGGAAAACATAGAACAGAAATTTACAGTTCTGTTTGATTTTTCCGTGAGATTCTGAATTTTCATTGACAAGATTACCGGAAATTTCAGTGGAATTCCAACCCGCTAAAAATTTCCGGAATTTAGCAGGGAAAATTCAGACAAAATTTTTTACCAGTGTGCAAGTGTTACCTGCAGTTCCTCGAAATCCTCATCCTCCTCCTCAAAAGGCTGCTCATCCAACGGAACACGAGTCGGTTGATGAGAGGCCGGAGGAGGATTAGGAACCGGTGGCTTCGCTCTAAACGACGGTTTTTTCATCCTCAAGTAGCCAAAAAATTCCGGCTCCTTGAAGGACAATTTCTTTCGAGGTCTGGTGCCTCCTGGTGTGCCTGGCTCAGGCGTACCAGGGCTCTGACCACCCGCACTAGCCGGCACTTCCGAGGCAATCGTCAACTTCCCCGGATTTCTCAACATCTTTTGTATTTAAAAAAAAATTATGAGTCGTTGGAGCACCTGAGAGTCAACGTGTTTGACCCTGGGCTTCAGGGACTCGCGGCGCCTGTGACGCACAGAGCCGTCCTCATTACCCACATATGTGCTCCAGAGTGCTCAGAAAGTGATTAGGAGACCACGCTGAACTTCAAATGTCACTCAACTTCTTGCACTCCGCTATTTGCGGGATTTTTTGAATTGAGAAAGAGGAAATGATCGTTCACTTTCTCTCGTTTAACAGGGGTCTCCCGAGGGTAATTAGTTTTTAATCAATTAAAAACTTGGGATTAAAGAGATATCAAATTTTTCTTGACGAGAAAAATGAGGAAATCACTTTCATGATCAGTTTTTTTAAAAATATCTCTTCTAAAAATCCACTGTTTCCTTTCAATTCGGTAAAGTTAATTGACGAATTAATTTTTTTCAATTCAAAATAAGTTTTTGCAAAATATATTGAAAACTCACGGAGATATCTAAATTTCCGGAAACGTCTGTGGAGGCTCATCCACTTGACAAAATAATTCCTCACGAAAATTTTAGTATCTCCCTTGAATGAAAAAATATTTACCAAAAACTCAGCTGTTCTGAAGTAGAATCGACGGGATTAATTCATTTATTTGAAGATGATGAATTTTTGAAAAATACCCGGACAACCAAGAGAGGTATTAAAATTCTTCTCTTCAAGTAAAGATTCTCGCGGGAATTGCCGCATGTCATTTACTCTACAATTCGAAAATCAATCGAGATATCAAAATGTTTCTCTTCAAACAAAGGTTCTCACGAAAATCGTCCCATTTCCGCAGCAATCGATGTGCAGATATTCACCGAAAATTCATCAGTTCCAAAGTGGAAAAATGAAACCAATTCCTCATTTGACGATTAATTTGCGTGTTCCAGTGTCCAAAAGTGTTTAGCAAAATACGCTGAACTTCAAATGTCACTCAACTAGTTGTTCCATTCCGCAATGTGCACAATTTATTATTTTTTCAATGGGAAATGCTGAGGAAATGATCGATCACTTTCTCTCGTTTAACTGGTGTCCCTCACGAGTCCCTAGCGAATTTATCGATTATGATTCTCAATCGAAGAATCAATGATCGCTGTTGAGCCGGACATGCCTGAGAACTGAGGGAGCCGATGGAGTGTATTGCCTACAGTAGCCCACACTCGCAGACACAGAGGACTATGGATGCTATTTTAATAACTCCGACGTGTACTTAAAACACACACAGACACATTGGAGGCAAGTTCGAAGCGTTATTCAAAAAGAAAAACCGTACATTTACGAGTGAGTGAGTGTGGAACTGAAAAGCCAGTCAACACGATTAAATAATTCTCGATTTTTCCCCCTCTGTCTAGTTGGCAAAGGTATACCACTAATACAATCACATGTCATAATGGAAAACAACAAAAATGAATTTTCTAACAAAACGTCATTTCGAGAGTCAAGCGAATATTACGCACTTTTGTTTTGGGGGGGAAAATTTGTTAAATTCGTTGTATTAATAAACATGGTGGTGTATCGTGTACATCAGTGTGTTTTGGGTGAATTTTTATTGTGCATTTTTTTTGGCACAACGTCTGGTGCATTGAAATGCGAGCATTCTCGGGTGAAAATTTTTCCATTCTCTGGTTTACGCTTCGCGAGAGACATTCACGTCATTTCAGTTGTAAAGCGGTGAAACGGGATAAGTCAATTATATTCGGAGTTTTGTTTTTGATGAGCTTCTGGGAACTAGAGGGAAATGGGAAGTAGTTGATTGGCATTTTTTTATGTGGTATGAAAATTTACGCGTCTCCCTTGGAATTTCCAGTTGTTCAACGGAAAATCGAGTGCTGTTGGGGTTTCAAGATTGATTTCTCAACTTTGGCGCAAGTTTTCAGGGAATATCTTCGGAGAGAAAGAGGGAATTCGTCGTTAGCAAAATCTACGGATCAATTTGAAGAGCTGTTTTTAGGGAACATTTTTTAAACCAAGGGAGATGTTTCAATTTTTAGTAAATATTTTGTTGCAGTTTATGAAAATTCTACTGGGAAATGTTAAGTTGACGAAATAAATTTCTCAATTTTGAGACGAGTTTTCAACAATTGTCTGGGGAGTCGAGGAAGATATCGAGGTTTTTTTATACTCCGGTTCTGTTTTCTGAGATAGGCTCTCGAAAAGAATTCCCCTATTCCTATTCCTAGAATCAAATCTATAAAAAACTTGAATTCAACGTTTTCAGCAAACATCTCAGTGACCAAAGTGTATATAGAAATTTTCAAAAACCGTGAATTCCCGAATTTACTTGAATTTTCAATCAAAACCTCAATATTCAGCACCACATGATGCTGAATTTTCCTGATTTCTGTCAATTTTCATGGAATAATTCAGTAGCGAAGTGGTAAAAAGAGATAAGTCAATTTTGACTATTGACCAGTTTTCAATCAATATCTCGGAATCTAAGGAAGACAGCAAAATTTTTGTCATAACATTTATTGTGGAGTCGATTGAGTGCTACAACAAATGTAATTACGAAAATTTCGCTATCTCCCTTAGATTCGGAAATATTCCTCAAAAACTCAACCGGGAGTTGAACGAATTAAACGAACATTTACAGTTTTAATTAATTTCTCCATAAAATCATGAATTTTCAACGATAAAATTCCTTGAAATTTCTGTGGAACTACAATACGATCAAAATTTTCCAAAAGCGTATGTCAGAAAATTTTCATAACTCCTCCTGCGGGTCTCACCCCACTCTGGAAAACATCCGTCTGTCCCCCTCAAAAAAATTTCCCTAAAGCTCATTATGAAGTTGAAATGACGCATACCATGTGAGTCATTTCAACTTCATTATCTCCCCATTTCCCGACAAAAATCCCCCAGCACTGGGAAATTACTCCCCCGTCCCTTCTTCAAAAACATTCACCAGAAATTCATCACCAACTCGAAAAGACTTACGTCGTTCCACCCCCTCTCCCCAATTTATTTACGGGGCCATTGCCAACGTAACTATTCACCTGTGAACCGTGACCCCCGAGATTCCCCCACCGCCCGTAACTCCCCTCACGTTTTCATTATTGACTTATTTCTCCTTCACTTCCTTTTCCACTAAAAACCGGTGTGATTATCTCCTTTTACGAAAAACCGTTTCATTTTTAGAGCGAAGCCTTCGAGGAACCTAGCGGAATAACTGGCGATAATTTCCGCGAATGTCTCACCTTTTTACTAGATTTGAAAACATTGCACTTGAAGGAATTACTGTTTCCATCGCGCGCTATGTAGCTAAATATCTTGAGATCGTGACTGTCATGGGAAACGTAGAATATCCGATAGATTGGATAGTGCATCTGGAATGCCTTGTTCTCGTCCATCCATTGTTGTTTTTTCTGTGAGAAAAATTGTTCACGCAAATTAGCTTTTCATTCACTCTCTCGATTAATTAAGGTTTATGGATTAGACTTTTACCTTTTTCTTTCGGAGAGTCACTTTCAGACCGTCCACAGATACTTCCAGAGTTACTTTTTTCTTCTTGATACCTTTCGCTTTAAATTCATACTGCAAGAAAGTTTAAAGGGGCACTTAGCGAATTATGATTATTGCTATTAATTGGGGTTGGGAATTCAGTAGTGAAGCGATAAAACAGGATTAGCCAACTTTTACTGCACTATTGGAAAATTATTGTTGAAATTTTAACTGGAGGAAATTTAAATTGTTTTTTTGTTAAGGAATCAATGACTTTGCGAAATTGTCAATGAATTATTAACACGGTCGGAAGTGAATATTCATGGGACTGTCGCTCTGAATTGTTGATCTGGTTGACATTGAATTGAATGTGATGTTCAATTTCCGGAACTCCATCCGCGAATAAACTCAAATTTTCAGAATTAGTAAATTTCGAATTGAAGTGAATACCGCATGTGTTAAGGAAATTTCGAACAGTGTAATTACCTCCATCAAAAAATTTATAAAAAAATATATCATATGCGCCAATTCCATAGATTTTTCAAATCTATAAAGAATATGTAAAAAATATGTATAAAGCATATATTTTATTTTTTTTTTATATAAAGTGGGCCAATTTAAAATATTTTTTAATATATTTTTCAAAATATAAATTTTTCCGTGTGGGTATCCCTGCATCTGAGAGAGCTGCCAAGATTTCCGCGAGGATTTCCCTCTTAGACCTCACATTTCTCCGAAAAAATCACCTCAACTCTGCGATGTCCCCAGAAAAGCGAACTTCACACGAAGTGAAATTGCCCAAAATTGCTCAATCCTGTTTTATCTGTTCTCCCATGAAGAGAATTACAGAGAGAAAAGTTGAAGAAAAATTAATACACAAAATCTCTACAAATTTCTAAATGAATGGTGATCGTGAAGCGAAATGTAATTCAATAAAAACTATTTTTCGTTTGGTGTTAAATTACATATATGAATGCAAAAATTACTGCTCCCTGAACAGTAAAGTTCCCCGCATCGGTCGGGTATTTTTTTCTGGCACCGACGCGAAGGACACCGGCACGAGCAAAATGGTACATTTCCGGACTGTTGCGATGGGGTTTTTTCACTCGCGCGGAGTTGACGTCCGCGAAGGCGAGGGCTGGCCAACCACACGAGTGAAAGAACCCCATCCCAACTGCCTGAACAATATTATTCCGTAGGGATTTTCAAGTTTTCGAGTTTGGAAAGCATGCAATACTACTTCTCAAACCAGGAATTGCCAGAAGCGGTCCGGAAAATGGGATTTTACCATACCGCGTTAAAAAAAGATCCTTCTTCCATTCAGGATAAATTTCCCTCTCATTTTCGTCTCGCAATTTTTTTTCAGTACAGGACGAAAAAAACTTAGAAATTAATTTCACTTTATGATCACTCAATTTATGAACGTCCGTATGAAAAGGGACCTATGTCGATATGTAGTTATGTATACTCTGATAATATTGGTAACATTCTGCACATTGTGAGCCAAAAATGATCTTCATAGGATCAAAAATGACGTCGCTGGAGAAGATGAAAAATAGTATATTTCGATACGATTGCGGGAATAGTATATTATATCATTAGGCGATAAAAGTATTATCTGGCGAATGTGAGTATAATAGCCACATTCGCCAGATAATCCTTTTATCGCCGTGTGATATACGCTATTTTCGGGCCTAACGACATAAAGTGTTTTTGGGCTCGTGGGAGGTTTATAGCACGAGCCAAAGGCAAGTGGTATAATTCCACGAGTCTAAAAACACTTCTCCCGCGAGTATCGAACCCTATTTTGCATCACAATGTGTGGGAGGTGGGGTTTTGCGCACGCGGAGCGTGCGTAAAATGTCACTTTACACACAGCGCGATGAAAAATAGTATATTGTATTACTAGTGCGTAAAGTTCCACTTTTTCACACGCAGCCGTAATCCATCCTATTTTTTGCGATACCTGCCGAGGTCACTGTTAAAGTGCTTGTTTTTGTGCACGAGTGCGTAAAGTTCAAGAGTAAAGAAAGAAGAGTTCAATGCAAAAAAATGTTTTTGAGTGCGTAAAGCGAATTTCGAGTACGTAAAGCCAAGTTTCACGCCCCTTAAACCGTTTCGAAAAGTGCACTCTTGATGCAGGTATCCCAAAAACAATTTAGAAATGTTCAGTAAAAATTACGGAACTCACAATTCGCTCACCGATTACGGAATTGACTCAGAAAATTGAAGTGACGGTATCGTAATTTTTCACAGGAGATTCAGATAAAAATTACGGAACGTTCTGAAAAAATTCCTTGCCAGTTCTGTAAAATTTCCTACAGCCACATTTCGCTTTGGAATTACGGAAAAGATACATAATTTTTATTGAATATTTCTCTCCGTGCATTGGTGTAAAGGTCAGTCGCTAAGAATATCTCGGAAACTAGAATCGACCAAGTGTTCCCTTTTCCTGCAGATGTCCACATTAATTTCTTAATTTTTCTTCAACTCATTGTCTCCGTGCAACATTGACACATTAACAGTAGGATATTTACTCTAATCCGTCGCATCGCCGCCACGATCTCCACTCGGCTAGTGGGTCGCGGTACATCCATGGACCCGATGAACTAAAAACCACAAGAAAATGAAGAAAAAAAATCGTTATTCAAGAGTGTAACAGAGCCCAGAGGATTGTCCCTGGCGTGATTGCACGTATCTCGTCCCGTGCTGTGAATTTTAATGACGAATCAACGGATGGATAATCCCTCGAGATCTAGGTGTCTCGCGTGAGAGGGATGATACCAGTTTCCGAAATAAACCACGTGCTAGCCAATGACGTCATGTCGACAAGCACGGGAGAGTGGCGAAAAAGCCAGTGGGCAATAATTTAAGTTACAGAAATATCATCGTTGTCGTAGTCGATGGCCTCATTGTGTTCAGTTCACGTTAGTTTTTCGTCGTAGGTCGGTTGACGTCTGACGGCGCCAACAACTGTCTCACTGTCCCCCTGAATCTATCATTTGATGTATGCTATTTGAATTATTTTACCTTAGCGTGGAATACGATGCCACGATGAAAGGCCTCCTCGCTGTGCAGCGGGATCCTCGTATCGTACTCATCATTGTGAACGAGATTGTACTGCTTCTTCGAGGGCATTCTCGGCCCGTTTTACGTGGATTATGATTTTCTATCTCCGCTGGAATGTCAATAATTCCATTATAAAAATGGATCGAGCAACAATGTCAAAGCCAATTATGATGATTGAAGATGGGGAAGGGGCAGGAGGACAATTAGGGGAATTATTCTGCATGAGAAAATTGAAATTTCATGGCCGGTTTCGAAGGCATTTACAGGGGAGAGGACATTGAGCCTATTTCCTCTGCGAACTTGAACCGGACGAGAGGCGAAGTCATTCAGCGGTGGACACGCAATGATAGGACATACTGTTGTCGATGGAAAATAGGCATTCTTCGCATGTAAAAAAAATCATCCAACATCGGATAACTTATTGTCTCCTCCTACTCAAGTACTCGGCGGAGATGAGGCCATATGGAGAGAAATGGTCAGTAAAAATTGCGGAAAATTTAAATGACAATTCAAGGAGATTCAGGTAAAAATTGCGGAACGCTCTGGAAAAATTCTGTGATTTTAGGTAAAAATTACGTGACAGTCCCGTAAAATTTCCTACAATAGCACATTGCGCTCCGGGATTACGGAAAAGATACGTAATTTTCATTGAATATTTCTCTCCGTGCAGTGAATTCGATTTAAGGGGAAATAAATCGGAATTGCAAATTTCATTGAAAATTGATGGAAGAATTTAACCGAAGTTTACAGCTTTCATTGATTTCTTCATAAAACTGAACTATAATATCATCACAATCCCCAAAAAATGTACCGAAAACGTCAGCCAAAATGTTTTAAGAGTGCACAGAAAAAAAAATCGCGAAAGCGAAATTCGCTGAAAATGCGGAAAAATTCCGTCTCCCCATACGTTTTTACCGACGACTCCCCAATTTTACTGTTCGTTCGCGAAAAAAATTAATTACAAGCCGAAAAATGAGTGATCTACCCCCATTTCGCTCCTTAATTTCACCCAAAAACTTCTGAACTACAATTTTTCCCTCCGATTACCCACATTATCCCGCAATTTTCCCTGCGATTTTCCCGTTCACGCAGTGATTTCGAATTGACGGTAAATAATATCGTAGAAAATCAACTCCACAATTTCCTTCCCCACATTCGCATGAAAGCCGTCTCGAGTGTGGACGCGCACGAGACGTTGAGCTTGAATTCCATCAGGAGGATGCACCTTTGTGTACGCGCACCTGAGATGAAGCAGTCTTCACATCACCAAGGTCAATGTGCACTTTAAATTTTCCCCATTCCCCGTGCAAAAGTCCAAAAACAAAGCAACAACAAATGATCGTTATAAATCACGAGAGACTTAATCGCGACTGTTTCACCCCCGGATCTGTCCCAAAGACACTTCGTTACAAATAAATGGGATTACGATAAATTTACGTTGTGAACGGTGCTGAAGCCAGACGGTGGATCACAGCGGATGGAGGGAAAGAGATAAAACGATAGTGAGCAAGACTTTGAAAAAAGGAATGAAAGAGTAAAAAAAGAAAGGCGGGGAGGGGAATTGGAAGTAGGGGAGAAGAGAGTCTTCAACGCACACATTCACGTTTGTACCCGTAGTTTAGCTGAAGACCCCTGTGTACCACCGCGGACCAAGTGGCCGAGGTAATGGGCAGGAACAAACTCCAGTGAACAAACCCGCCCGAGTTGTTCTCAGAACTACCAGCGGCAACTTCTTACCGACTCCTCACTGAATCTCCTCAACCCTTTTTTCCTTTCCCCCTTTAAATTATTCTCTATATCTTTATAACTCGAATGCTCTACCGTCACCTGAAGAAATCACAGGAGGAAACTTCCCACAAATAGCGAGACTAATGTGAATGAGTGTTTCAGCATCGGGAGGGAGGCGCAAAAAATATCCAGTTCTCTTTCTCTGGACCAGGTGCCTTGTATCACTCAGTCACTAATATTTTCCGCATTTCTCAGACGGTTTCCCTTCTATCTGTTACCGCGTACCACGCAGCAACTTCTCTCCTGCATTGGATGCATGGAGCCAAGGTTGAATGGCCCGCGATCCAAGGGGGGAACGAACTCGCTCAGTTTTTTTCTCTTTAATTTCTCGTAAATACATGCGTTTTCAATTTTTAAATGGCACGCATTCCCGCGTTTTATTTCGAAATTCCACGGGTTTATTGTGCTGCGAATTGCTGATGAGGCAATCGAGGATGAATCCAGGCAGCGCGCGGCTCAATCGTTCGTTGACATCGGGTGTCTCAGTGGATTTATCGAGGAAATTTTGAATTTTGATGTTCCGGTTTGTTAATTTTTATTGGCTCATTTTTTTGGCACTCGGGGGTTGTGTTTTGGTCGTATATAAAATACACTTGCACACACGACTCGTTGTCACAGTGGAGTGACGCCAACGTGCGCGATGGAACCCGGGAGAGCGTGTCTGGTATAAAAAGAATGGGGGGGAATTGGAAAAAAATGATATTGTGCCACTCTCCAGGCTGTTTCTTAGCCAGGCGACATAGAAGGCATCCAGCCCCGTCACAAGGCGAAACCGGCGGCACACTGAGAATTCTGTAAAACCGGCTCTACGATATATATTGTTACATTTGGGATATCATGGGGGTAGAGTGGATGGCGCGAGAGGCGCGCGATTGTAGCACCGCGTAATATTTGAAACATTTTTTTGGGAGTGCTTCTTCCGGTTTAACGCATTCCCTCCACTTCATTCCGTCAGGTTTAATCTCCTAATCTTAAGTTTTACGAGAGCCTCGAGAACTGGGAGGGGTACAGCGATTTTCACCGACAATCTTCAAAGTTGTTTGAACAATGGAGAAGCAAATTGCTTATGCAAATCATTTTTTAAATAGAAAAGATTGGGAAGAAGTCTGTGAAGGAATGGAATATGAGAAAACATTCAATCGCTTCATTCAAATTACGTTTTGCAAGAAATTAATTAATGAATTTTCTCCTCAATAATTTCGTCATGAATGGATGATGGGAAGAGCGCAAACCATCGAAAAGCTCATTTTTCTTAGCACGAAATAGATTTCTGATGAAATTATCAATATTGAAAAATAATGCCGCAAAATTTTGTGACAAGTCAATGACATTTTCGTCATGTTACCAAATTACGATGGGATGAACCTATGGCGGTGGTATTCCAACTAAAGAGATCATGGCCACTCCTCAATTTTATGACATATTTTGTGACACAAAATTTTATGTGACCGTCATACTTCATCTAAATAGCAGTAACAATGTCAGACTATTCAGAATTTCATGATAGCTGCTAAATTTTATGACATTTTTGTGGCACAAATCATACACGCCCGTTATATTCCATCTAAATGGCAATAAAAATGTCACATTTTTCGAAATTCCGTAATAGCTCTGTAATTTTATGACATTTTTTGTGACAGATTCTGTGTAAACGCCGTATTTCATGTGAATAGCTATGACAATGCCAATCTAGTCAAGACTGTCGTAAAATTATCAATTAATTTATAAATTTTTAATGAGTAAACTCTAATTATTTCACATTCTCCAAATGTTTCCTAATGTTTTCAAATTAAAAGTCAATTCTAATGATCGAGTGAATGGTCCAAATCAATTACTGAAGCTTTAAAGGTCTGAATTTGATTTTGACTCAAACTTTCGAGCATTTAATAATGAAATAATCACCGTGTCCGATAACCTACGGTCAAATGGGGCTGGAATGAAAAAAAAGTGCTTGAATATTTTCAATTCTTTATCGAACTTCATTCATTCCAATCATGAATAATTCACCCTCACTACAATATTCATCACTCCAATCTGGAACTTCTCGATCAAAACTCATCCGTTCAAATACCCGACAATTATCAAAAAATAATAACTACAAATTCTTCTTGAGCTTGTAACTTTGCGTACAAAAAAATTTATAAATATCAACATTAATACAACGTTGATATATTAGCCTTAGTAGGATACTGCTCATCGAACTGTCGGAATTCGAAGGCACACTGATTGCGCTCAGCTTTCAGATCAACCTCATTATACAGTAAACTCAGTAGATAAACTGTGTTTTTGACTTTGCCGAAGGCCTCCACTTTAGTAAAATGAGTTTTGGCCTTGAGGAGGGCTTTTATGGCGTCTTGAATGATGACTCTGCGTCTCTCGGTGGCCTGGGGGGCCGTCGCGACGAGACACTTTGCGTGGAGAACTAGGGCACGCGCCTGGTCGTACCAGCCACCGTGCGCCAGGATCTGCACTATTGCCTCGTCTATGAGGGTTGACGCTTGATTCGGCATTCCCATTATCAGCTGTTTGGACATAATAATTGATGCCGATCAATATTTTTTAAGCGAATCCAAGGATTCTGGATTTTTTTTTCATTTTAAATAATTTTAGAGAATTTCCTGAAGGGGTTGCAGTGAAATTTCCAAGATTTCGAAAGGTTTTCAGTAAGTTCAGTAGTTATTTGTTGATATTCACTAGTAATTCAAGTATGGGAACGTTTTACGAGACCTCATAAAAATTTATAAAGATTATAGAGGTTTATAAAGAAGAGAAAAATCAAATTCAACTGCTTTAAGCATTTGTTCTACGATAAATATGCAAATTAATTCTTGGAATATAATATACATATTTTGGAATATAATATAAACATGATCTATAAATATATCGTGAAATGCAAACTAATGAAAAAATAGTATTGTAGACATTTCAATGATCATAATGATAAATATTTCACGATATTACCTGAACATTAGCCAGATGCATTTTAACGACAGCCTCATAATACGACAGATGATACTTGGTCGCCATTTCCAGAGCTGAGTTCAGTAAAACTAGGGAATTCGTTCCTGTGATGCCATTCCCTGGGAGGATCGAGGAGTTCATGATTTGGCTAGACAGGATCATCGCCCTGACTCTATTCTGAGGATTCAAATCATCGTCCTTCTCGATGTTGCTTATGAGCTCCAAACCCGTTGGATAATCTCCCTTCGCCAGAGCAACTTCAGCTAGTCTGAATTTACTTTCGATAGAGTCTAAACTTGATATTTGATTTGCTATCGCCTCTGCATCACTCCACTTCTCGTGCCTCATCAGTTTTGTTAATTGGTACAACTGTTGACTCAGCATCCATATCTAAACGTTAAATTATAGCCTAATAGTTCATTCAATCTTTGGAACAAACAACATGAAATAGTGAGAAATGCAGTAAAAATGAAGAGATCAATTTTTTTCAAAACTGAATTAATAAAAATTGATTCTACCTTGTTAGATGGTTCATTAGGGAACCTCTCCTTCGCATGATCCAGCACAACATCCACCAGATTGTACTCCCCAAACTCCACTAAAGCATTGACAACATTAACAACTGCTTGACACGTCGACGAGCCATTGAACATCGTCTGCTTCTTATTCCCTGAATTGTGCAGCAGCAGCAACTGCGAGGACACTGTGGACATCTCAGCTTTGCCGTAGTAAGCCCAGAGTGCAGCTTTCTCCGCGTACGACATTGACATCAGATCTTTCATGGAATGCTGACAGTTGAGGACATCGGATTTAATCAGTGTCTGGAATACGTGCGATGGACTTTTACCCTCTAGTGCTGAATTGTGGGCTGACGCTATTAATCCTAGGCTCGTTGTGTGGGTTATACCTAGTATACTTGCTTTTCCCACTGAACGTTCGATCAATTGACTCCTGGGAAAAATATGAAAACAAAATTTCAATTTATTTTCAATGTGAATTGACGAAATGGGAAAGGAGTTTCAGCTTTTTTTGGATAAAGACTTACGTTCTAGGATTTATGATTGCAATTTCTTCTTCATTAAAAATATGAATTAGAAAATGTGAAATTAAATTTCGACTAGTTCTACTTTGTCAGTCAATTCTCCACTCACTTATTCTCCTTCGACAAATGGTACATCCAAGCATGTGCCAACTGCAGGCAAACATTGTCCCCAGCCTCCTGGGCCATCATGACCGCCTCCTTCAACGCTGCCTTGGCCACTTCCTTGTGATCGAACTGTGCATGCAGTGCTGCGAGGTTCAGCGCAGCATATCTGAATGTCCTGGACCTGTCCTCGGCTGCCGATCTGTTCTCCAGAGGTGCCAGTCTGTCGAAACAGTGGTAGAGACTGTCCTGGGCGCCGCAGTATTCATTGACTCGCAGGCAATTCAGGTAGCTCAGGTAATGGGCTTCTGCATAGTAGGGGTTGCAGCCCAGTAGCTCGCGAACTAGTGTCTGGAGGTTGGCTGGCGGCATCGCCTTGTGCTCGTCTGTCTGGAGGGCTTGAGCCTGCTGGGCGACCAGAAGTTCAGCCCTTCTGCAGTCCCAGATGTTTTTATTCTTCGATTGTCTGGGAGTATTTTTAAAATAATGAAAATACGAAACCATACTTTTTTTTATTTTTTAGGATGTTTAGCCATTCTCAGCAAATTTTATTTTCTCATGTTCAAGGAAAATTCTATTATTGTTTTGGGTGATAGCTGAACATATGAAACTAACTTGTTTGGTGTTAAAAAAATTAATCCCAATAGTCTCGTCAAAAATAAATAAACAAATTTTTCTTTAAACACGGGTTCTTAAGGGATTTATAACGAAATTTATAATTCACTGAATAGAAGACTCCAAAAATAGAAATGAAAATAGAAGGTATTGTGCAGAACTTTACTGAATCGAATGGCCAGAGAAAAATTTGGGGTATCCGAGCAAAAAGAGGAAATATTTGAAAGATTCTATCCCATGTAAGCGCACGTCAGCGCATGCGTTTGGTGCATTTTGACCACTCCATTTCTAAATAATAAACGTGGGTTGGTGGATTGAAATTTTTTAAAAATCCAATTTTTTTAAATACTTGCGATTTTGGATAAACATCCTTAAACTGTCGAGGGGGATTTCCTTACTCTTTCACGTTTCCCAGCTCGATTTTCGGTGTCGGGAGGTTTCGTGCATTCACCAGGGCCAATGCAGCCTCGTCAAAGTCCTTGACAAAGGCGTCATACAGCTGGGCAACCTCCGAGAACGAGAGCTCCTCGAAGAATATTATCGTTCTTCTGACGTACAAACCTAGTACTGAACTTCTGCACAGAGCGTGGGAGGGGAGGGAGTGATCCTGGGGGGATTTCATCAGTCTTGTGAGGACGTCGAAGAGCTCCAGGAGACCCTCAACACCAACAGTTTTCTCGGATAAATGCACGCACTCCACTTCCATCTTTCGAGCGAAACGTTGGAGAACGTATTCGGTGCTGTACAGGGCGAATATGAGAGCCTTCAAGTCCATATCTGGGGACTAGAAGTTTCATGACGAGATATTAATAGCAAAACGTGATTTTTCACCCAAAATTATTTAGCAGTATTTGCAATATAAGGATTTTGAAATGATTGACGATTTTATGAATGAATGGGCATGAGACGAATGGAAGCACTAAGGCCCTATTATTTTATATCCGTGCAGTAGTCGAAATGAGGGAGAAAATCTTTTGCATTTGGGATTTTGCAAGAAATTTTCCAATCCCTGAGTATGAAAACTGAATGCAAAATCTTGGGATTTTTCTCATTTAGGTGAATATTGAAAATTAGTAAGTTATGACGGATTGAAAACCAAGGATTGTGACGAAGAATAATGTAGACGTTTCTTATATTGCCCGTAACTTCTTAATTTTCGGGTTTTTTGAAATAAAAAAAATGGCAATGTAATATTTTTCATCAAACTTTCGTACTTCATCATTTTATTCGGTGAAAAATTTCCTGCAACAATTCATTTTTATCCTGGCAATCTTCATAATAATTGGAATTTTTCTCTTCTCCCCCTTTCAAGTACTTGCCCAATTAATTTAAAACCTCAACTTTTCTAAATTTATCTTTGCATATTTTGGTAATGATTTTTTCCCCTGCTATGGAGAAAATCTCAAATGTAATCATCTGAACTAAAAACTAGCTCTTAACCAAATTAGCAATGAATAATATACATTTACTTTACCTGAATCAATTTCAACGCAAGAATGCAAAAATCTCGGCGTTCCTGAGGAGCTAAAGTCAAACAGAATACAAATGAATAGTGGAAATAATCCGATTGTTTTACGTCCATTGTTTAGAAGACATCTCTTACTTTTTGGCATGGCCAGGCAGTACTCCTTTATCAGCAAAATAACTCCAATTTTGTAAGGTGTCAGAGTCTCCCTATTGGGCTTGTGACTGCTGGATGTCTCCTCCATATTCAACAAATCCTTATTCATCCTAAATGAGTTTAATTCACTCTTCAGCTTCAATTAATTCACTAAAAAGACACTGAAACCCGGTGGAACATTTCGGAGTGAGTGGAAGCGCTACAGCTGACGGTTGTAAACAATTCTGAAGCATTTTAACGATTTTAACACAGATAATCAGATAACTCCGAAGAATCTGTCATCTCTCAGTAAATGTGGGCATGTTTCCATGGACGGTGGAAAGCCTTGAAAATCTGCCATTATTTTCATCCCACGTGCAGGTTAGAACTCCCCGGGCTCCGATGCTGTGAAAAATGAGCGTTTTAACGAGAAAATTGGCTTCTTTGAACCCTTCGAGACTCGGAATAAGTGCAATTAGTTCAAATGCAGCTCTTGTTGACAACTGTACACAAGTGTCCAACAGAAATCCGAGGAATTTGGAGCTGTTGAGGATCGCTAGGAAACCTGATGGATATCATCTGGAGAGAGTATCTCGGAAATTTTGGCATGAGTAATATTTCCCAATTTTTAGATTCTATATTTTTATAATGGGGCATCATAAATACTGGACATCTTCAGGAGGTCAATGACTCATTGAATTCCTGATGAAATACTCCAAAAGATTTTATGAAACTCCAACAAACTGATGGATTACCTCGATTCCGAAGACTTGAAAAAAATTCCCAGAGAATAAAATGTGTAACGTAAAAGATGTTTTCTCTCATCTTTTCAATAAAAATATTTCAGGAATTCAGGAATTTATAAATTACGTCAGGAAACTTGAGAGATTCAGAGAACTTTTGAGTAAAAAATCATGGGATTTCCTCGAATTCTGGAATTTCAGGAAATTAAAAAGAATTCTCTCAAAAATTTACAAGAATTTATAAAATTTTAATCTCTTCGTAGTTCAGATTTTGTGAATAATTACCACTATAACTGCAATCTATGAATTTATTTTTCCTCTACGCTTTATAAATATTCCATAGGTTTCAAAGCTAGCACATGAAGCTGTATAGAAAGTCCGTTTTGCCCCCTATTCCTAATGAATCCAGCAATTTCATCCGCTAAAATTCCAACATGTTCCATCAAATTCCATTGTTGCATTATAAATTTTAGACTAATCATCACACGAGGAGTTAAACACGTCGAGGTTCATATAGAACACATAGAGAATGGTCCAGTTATCACAGCATCCACCAAAGAATGGTCCTTGAAGAAACGTCTCTACTCGTAAGCGAAATAAACAAAAAACTCATTAAAGAAAAAAATGCGAACGGAACGAATTCCTTCATCTGTATTTCTCCATTCAGATACCAAGACAGTTCTGCCTACATGAATATAGGCAGAGTCCTCGCAGAGAGATGCATTGAGAGTGGAATTTTCGCTATTCACGTCAATCCCCACATGCCAAAGGGTGGAAAAATCGATTTATTATTATCAAAACTGGAAGAGGGTGGAGTTGCCCTCGTCGAGCCTCCAGTATACAAGAACCCCCACCCTTGGGATCTCGAGAGACCTGAGAAACCGTGGGATGTCATAGAGCCGTAAATGTAAATAATAAAAGTCATTGATTAATCATCAATTTCGTTTATTTCATTTGTGGAAACCACGGACTATATCCCCGTGGCTTCGGGAATTCTTCTTCTTAATTAAAATGTTAAAATTACGTTGGATTTCTTTTTGGAAGTTGTAGGTTTACAATAGGTACTTTTCAGTAGCACAATTCAAGAGTATCACATGGAATCCATTTAGAACTCTCCAGTGCGTCCCACATGTTGTAATCCTGCTCAATTATGTCCCTGTTGAGTTTGTCTATGTCCACTGGTACTGAGTGCTCTAAAAGAAATACAAAAAATTAATGATTCGAATTTATCTGTAATTAAATTCAATGGTGAACAGGATTTGTCAATTTTGTTAGAAGATCAGATTCGTGAAGACTTTTTTGGTAAAACCAAATGCAAAAATGCATTTTTTGAAACCACACGTTCTAAAATCCTCGAAATACTGAGCGAATTCTTCGCAATTAGGAGGTTGTGGACTTTAGGCGAGAAAAAATGTGAATATTTAAATTAAGGGAACATTATTGATAGTGTGAACAAATCCTGTAGTTTTACGAACTTTAAATTATAAACTTTAAACTATTGAATTACTAAATGTTTCACTATCAAGAGATGTTCATTTTTATTCAGAGTTCAAGAGGTAATAACGCTCAATATTTATCAAAATGACATCTGCGAATGAAATTGACTTTTCCTGCGAACATACCAATGAGTTCTAAATCATCCTCCTCAGGTTTTGGCTCAGAAACGTAATTACTGTAGTTATCAGAAGTGGGTTCACTCTCGTAATACCCCTGCTGCCACGCACTGTAGCTATTCCAGTAGGAAGAAGTATCGTAATAATTATAGGAATCACTGCTGACGTTTGTTGAGGAGTACTCCGAAGACATTTGAGGTGGAGTTGACCTGGGGAAACAGAAAAATCATGACGCCCTGATATTTCCTGGAAATCGAAGGAGATCGTGCATTCTTTTTTACTTACCCTGCTAATTTATTCCAAGGTCTAGGCACAGCATTGCAGATCTTGAGAGCCTTGGTGCCCAGCCCCTTGTACCCATTCATCGTCACTAAACTGCTCTTCTGCTCGTCCTCATTCGCGAATCTGACGAAGCCGTATCCCTTGCTGAACCCAGAGCTATCTAAAATGACTTTAGCTGTTCTGATTGAATTATATTTCGCTGCGAAGGCTCTGTAGAGGGAGTAATCATCAACGTCGGTAGATAAATCCCCGACCCATATGCTGAATTCTCTGTCTGCTGCTGGCTTTCCTGTGGTACTGGCATGATTCAGTCGAAATCTAACAGCCTGTGGATTAATTTAACAAGTCGATTAATTTAACAAGGGAATTTTTTATTTTAATCAAATGAATGGGTCTACTCAAACTTAGACTTTCACATTTATTCGCATTTTCATTCACGTAAAAATGAAAAATTTTACGTTTAAAAATTAATGTTTTCTTGATTCAAATGAAAACTGAGTTAAAACGAATTTATTGATGTGAACTAATCGTTCATTAGGATTGAATGAATCGTTTATTTGATTTTCAACAAGTAGAGCTCTACTTAATTAAAATTCGTCATTATTATATAAACATAAAACTGTTTAAACGGTTTAATGTTAAATTATATAAACATAATACTGTTTAAACAGAATTTTTTATTTTTTCCCCCCATTGAAGTTTTCTTCGGCCGATTGAACAAATAGCACAGATGGGCTATAAAATTTTGGATAAAATGTTTGGGAGAACAACAACAAAACTAAAAGTAAAGTACTCGAATTAAACCTCAAAATGAACTTTTGAGAGCCAAAAAATCATTCTAAAAAGCATGAAAAAAAAAGTACGCACTGGATTGGACCCTGGAATGACTTTTCCATTCAATTTGTGCATGGCATCAAGAGCCATCTCATCAGTGGGAAAGTGCACAAAACAGTAGCCTGCCGGCTCCCCCGTGTAGCGATTCCTCATGACCTTGACTGTCTGAGGCTGCTCTCCCATTTTGTGAAATGCATTCATAATAAAACTCTCCGTCATGTACGGCTCCAACTGAAAAATCAGGAGGCCAGGCAGTGACGAGGAAGCCAAATCAATTGTGATCGGTACATATAACCTACAATGTTTATCAAATTTTTTTCAAAACTTCATCACTCACCCCTCCCATCCACAGCTGACACAACACCATTGGCCCGGACATTTTCTTCGATTTTCACTTGTTCAATTAAAGTTTTGGTAATCCCGAAGACTCGAATTTCTCTTGTTTGATCGTGGACGAAGTGGTCCGACGTTTGTTTACTCTGGTGTCTCACTGCTGAACCGATAATGCAGGCACTGGAGGCGGTCGGTAGACCCGGTCGGTCGGTATCTCATTGCGTTTTGCCGGGTTCGAAAAATTAGGCGTCTCATGTGCGTTTATTACCTTTGTTTTGGGAATAATAAACCATCTACACGACGAATCCCTCGACAATCTCGGGATATTTATCTGGAAGAACGTGCAGATCGAGGATTTTAGGTTTGTGGAGGTTTTTATCACGTTCTAAATGATCTTGAAAAAATTTTTTGGTTATTTTCTTTGCTCATCCATAATACTGCGTCGATTGAAGATGAAAAACTTCTGAATGGATGAAAACTTATGAATTTTCATCATTATTTTAACGGTGCGAGAACGATTAACAAGACTAATCTCTTGACAAAGTCATTCTATTCATCCAAAGAGAGCTTTAAATTGTGTATTTTAGATTTGCTAATTTGTTGTGAACCCGTTATTTTCCCCAACATTATTTTCCCAATTTTTTATAACAACCACGTGTCTACCAAATGTTCCTCTCCAAGAAACCTTCTCCCAAGTATTTACTCCCCTTCTACTGCTTTAATACGTATTCTACATTTGTTAATTTTTTGATCAATTGTAGATGAAAATCAATCAGAATAAAAAAATAAAGATCTGAGGCGTAACCCCTGCTTTGAACCTCATAAAACGATCAACAATACAAATCTTGAGTAAAACTCAGTCTCATCTGAGCAATTGATCCCACTATCAATTTTCCTTGCTGATAATTTCCAGATGAGAAACCCCTGAATGAATGAGCCCTAGCCGAGTCCCTCCCCAGCCATGTCAAAAGTCCGAAAGCTCTCCATCCGTGGAATTAGAAATTTCTCCGACACGGAGGAGGCCACGATAAGATTCAGCTGCCCCCTGACCCTCATCACGGGCCTCAATGGAGTTGGCAAAACCACAATCATCGAGTGTCTCCGCTACATCACGACTGGCGAGTTCCCCCCAGGTTCAGACAGGGGCAGGTCCTTCATCCACGACCCCATGTTGAAGAAGCAGACGTCAGTGCAGGTGCGAGGCTGCGTGAAGGGAGAGTTCGTCGACCGCGAGGGGAAGACCATCACAGTAACGAGGACCATCGAGTGCACTAGATTCGAGAAAACAACGAAATTCAAGACCCTCGACAACGCTGTCAGCGTCTACAACCCGAAGACTGGAAAGTCGACGCAGTTAACGAATCGCTGTGCAGACATTGACGTGGAGGTGATGCACTCCCTGGGTGTGTCAAAAGCGATATTGAACCACGTGATCTTCTGTCATCAGGACGACGCCAATTGGCCTCTAGACGAGAACAAGGTGATCAAGGATCGATTCGACGCAATTCTGGAGACAACCAACTACAATAAAGCTCTGGAGAACCTTCGAAAGCTGGCAAAGTCCAAGGAGACAGCCCTGAAGATCGCTCAGGTCGAGGAAGCAAGGCTTGCCGACAGAGTTATTGAGATCAGGGCCAAAGAGGAGAAGCTCAATGAATTCAAGCAGAGGAAGAGTGACGTTGAGGAGAGGATCAGGAGGATAAACTCACGTTTGGAGCCTATAAACGAGAGACTGAGGAGGATAAGGGAGATTGAGGTTGAGTTCAACAGACTGAGAGCTGAGGACGAGAAGGATAAAGTAGCGTACAACATGGCTCGCGAGCAGTGTGAGTCGCTGCAGTTGAGGGTGAAGGAGATGTACGAGGGGAGTGATGAGGAGTTGAGGGAGGAAATCGAGTCTTACGGGAGTACTCTTCAGCAGAAGACTCGAAAGATCGCTGGGATCGAGGGGGAGATCAGGGATCTGCTGAGGAAGGAGCAGAGTCTCTCGAAGGTTCTGGGAGAGCACAGGGTGCTGATGGGGACTCTCAGGCAGCAGATGGAGGATCAGGGGAAGAGGACGAAGGAGAGGAATCAGGCCCTGAACGCAGCGCTGGCCATGTGGGGGCTGCAGGCACTTGAGGACTTCGAGTCTGATTACGAGGTTCAGAGAGGGATTGAGGCTGTTGAGTCGAAGACGAAGGAGTTTGAGAGATCCATTGCTGATAAACGAATGAAGCAGAATCAGGGGGAGAGTGAGCTCGAGAAAACTGTGGAGGCTGCACGAGACAAGAGATCGAAGATCAATTCGGAATTGGAGAGGAGTGAGAAGGATGCAGAAGAGATTAGAAAGACGATTATGAGTGCTCGATTGAAGATTGGACAGGCTGATGACTCGGGCAAACGACTCGATGCTGTTGATGCCAAACTCGTGCAGATGGACAAGGAGATTGAGGAAATTAATGAGCTGATGAGGTCTGAAGATGTCGAGGATAAAATCACGAGGGAGACGAGGAAGTTCGAGGAGATTGAGGAGAAATTCACGGAGCTGGATGAGGAGATGACACTCATTCAAAATCAAAGTGCACTGAACGTGAAGTTAGAGTCATTGAAATCAAATTCCCAGGCGAAGAGTAAAGACATTGAACAGCTGAAGTCACAGCATGAGGAGAACATTAAGAAATTATTGAAGATGAATCGAGTGCCAGAGTACAACCTCAAGGAGACCATCGAGGAGGCCCAGAGGGTTCTCTCAGAGAGGCTCGAGAGATTATCCAAGGAAATTAAAACGAAAGAGTACGAACTGATGGCTGTGGAGACAGCCCTGACTCACGCCAAGAAGGAACTGAACGTCAGAATAATGAACAACGAGTGTGAGAAGGAGAAGGTGAAGGCCCACTGCGAGGATTACACGAAGTACGAAGAAGTCTTGCTCGATCAACAGACAAAACTGAAGGAATTGCAGGACAAGAGAGGGATGATTGCTCACCAGGGGTCGGCTTACCAGGCCTACATCAGGGAGTTCAGCAGGAACTCGTGTTGTGCCCTGTGTGAAAGGGGCTTTGACTCGCAGTCAGAGGCCCAGAAGCTCCTGAATAAACTGAAAAAGGGAATTGCAGACCACCCAGACCTGCTGAGGAGATGCGAAAGAGAGCTGAACGTTGAGCAGGGGAAATACAACACTCTCCTCTCGATAAAATCGGCAGTAGAGGCAATCACAAAATTCGAAGCAGTTGACAAAGAAGAGATGACGAAAAAAATCAAGCTGAAGGAGCAAGAGGCCTCAGAGCTGAAGCAGAAAATAACAGAACTGAAGGAATCGAAGCTGGAGCCCGAGAGGAGAATTGAAATGGTGAAATCGATGATTCCAGATCTGACGATTTGGGATCGTTACTCCCAGGATCTCCTGCAGATCGACATCGCCATGGACGAACTCCAGGAGGAGATGTCCTCCCGAGGTCGCACGAGTAACAAAACGATGGGGGAGATCCAGACGGAGAGGGAGTCCTTGAAAAAATCCCTGAAAGAAACTCGCGATAAGATCGATGAACTGCGATCGACCCTCGACATCAGGAAGGAGCAGCTTCGCAGAGCAACAGAGAGGAGAACCAAGTGCCTGGAGGAACAACTCCGAATCCACAACGAAGCCCAGCAGCTGCGAAAGCTGAAGGACGACCTGAAGGAGATGATAACGAGAGAAAGCGCCCTGAGGTCGTCACTTCAGGGCCTTCGCCAGCAGCTGATGGCAGCTGACGAGGAGCGTGGCGAAGTAGTCAGAGAGCTGGACGAATTGAAATTCAAAAATCAGGAGGAGCAGGAGATCGACAGGAAGCTGATGAAGGATTACGAGAAGCAATGGGACACTCTCAACGCCCTCCAGGGGGAGATCGCCCGGTTCGCCTCTCGAAACGTGAAGAAACAGCTGGAGAACCTTGAGCTGGAGGTGAAGCTTCACCAGAAGAACAGCGAGGAGAAGCAGCGAGAGAGGTCTGACAAGGAGAGAGAGTTGATTCAGATCAAAGAGGACATCTCGTGCCACGAGACGAAGAAGAGGAATCTCACTGATAATGTGGAGCTGCGCAAGTACCAGAAGACTCTCAGGCAGCTTGAGCAATCTCGTAAGCAACGAAGTGGCAAAATTAATCTCCTTAATTACGACGAGGTGGTGAAGGAACATGAGGAGTTGGTGAAGGAGATCCAGGAGGCTGAGGGGGAGATCAACAAAGCCTCTGGCATCAGGGGAGAGATCACCAAGAGTATTGATCAGTTGACTGAGGATCTTAACACCAAAGAGTGCAAGACAGCACGCACAGCCCATCGAGCCAAATGCATCGAAGTCTTTGTCACCAGACAGGCGATCGACGATGTCATGGCGTTTGCCAAGGTCCTGGATGTGGCGACAGCAGAGTTTCACGAGGAGAGGCTCGACAAGATAAATTCGGCCATGAAGAAACTCTGGAAGCTCATCTACTCGGGGAACGACACGAAGTCCATTCAGATCAGGGCTGAGGCCACTTCCACGTGTGGAGTGACTGAGAAGAGGCAATTTAATTACAAACTCGTGCAGATCAAGCATGGAATCGAGATGGAGATGAGGGGGCGCTGCAGCGCTGGCCAGAGGGTGCTTGCGTCCATCATTCTGCGATTGGCCCTGGCTGAAACCCTCTCGCAACAGTGTGGAGTCCTCGCTCTCGACGAACCAACGACCAATTTGGATGCTGTCAATTCGGCAAAACTCGCTGATGCACTTTACAGATATGTCACCTACAGGGCCAAGTATGAGAAGAACTTCCAGCTGATTGTCATCACTCATGATGAAAATTTCATCAGGAATCTGAGCGAATTGGGCTCGCAGAATTTCGCTCAGGAGCTGTACAGGATGGACAATGGGCTGACTAGTGTGAGGAAGTCTAAGTTGAACAACGGGGACGATGTTGAGGACGCGCAGAGGCAGAATGAGCCTCAGAATGAACCTGAGACGCAGCAGTCGATGTCTAGGAAGAGGGCTCTCGCTGGCGACGGACCCCCGGGGAAACGGAATAGACCGTACAACTTTGAACTCGATTTCTGAAGCGGGGGCGATGGTCCCTGTTCACATTCCTGTTTTTTTTCGTATGAAGACTCGAGTGGATTATCTTGCGAACGTGATCTTGATGGTTTTTTTTATTTTGATAGTCTGAAATGATCTCCGATTACTATTCGGTTTTACATAGCCCTGGATTCTCCAAAAATTATGATTGTACAATTTAAAAAACGGTGAAAAAAGCTGAACATTTTCAAAGAACGTGGAATTGGAATTGGAATGAAATTGCAAATTCATAATTTGATGTAGCTAATGGCGATCGTTAGTTACCATTATAAATTATCCATTCACTATTTCCTCTCAATCGAACTCATTTCTTAATCTTTATTAAAAACGTTCTTTGAAAATGTTCTTTTTTTTCTACTTTTTTTAATTGTACAATCATCATTTTCAGGGACTCCTGCGTGATGTAAAATCCAATGAAAATTGTGATATGTTTTACATTATGAAGACGGAATAACAATCGAGATAACGTTCGACAGATGATCCACCCGGGCCTGAAATTTATGTTTTTGCGGAGAGAACGAGCGGGAGATAATTCTTTGAGAAGAAACTGTGGATTTTCGTTACTTATTTGTCTGGAGAATTGAAGAATTTTCTCTTTCGGTTCTGTGTCGTTTTATTGTCATTTTTCTTCTCATGTGGAGTAAATAAATGAATATTTGTAATGATATTTTGGCTTTGTCCTCAGTATTTACATTATTCCTCCATTTGTGGTCATTAATTTTGAATTTAAACGCTCTGTCGGCAACGGAGTACTTCCGCTGCGTATCCTCCTAACCTCTGAAAAACCACTTGTGTCGCGAACGTATCAAGCGACTAATCAGCAAGCCACTGGCGATTTGTAACGGGCATTTTCAACTGTGGTGTTGCTTGAAAAATGCATTCCTCGATTTTTCCGTAATTTCGGTCAATAAAAAGAGTACAAAAACCGCTCAATGAGCCCACAAGTGTTCAGTTAAGTGTAAAAGTGAAGTGTCGACCCCAAAATCCCCCCCGAATAGTGAATAAATCAGGCGAATGAAGCCGCGTTTGCTCTTCTCAGCTCCTTGACACTCGTAAATTTCAACAACTACTGTTGTATCAATCAATTAGAGCGAAAATATCAGTGAGATAAGCGCGGAAATGTTGGGTAGTCATCCTTAGAGGAATCCTGGAAGCCTTCACACCATAATCAACGAGTTGGTGAGTAATCGCACATAATAATAATAAACCCTGGCATATCTGGAAACAGAAAAAACATGATGTCATGGTCCTTCGAATTTTGATTGTAACTCCATAACGATTATTTAGCTTCTCTGAGACTCTTGACCGTCGGATTGTCATGTGTAAACAGAGGGCTTTGAGCAAATACATTTGGTCAGGTTAAGTCATCGGTGTAAACAATCAAACAAATCCCCAAATATTATTGATTTTTCGTAATGCCGTTTTTATTGAGAAGTGAAATCGATCGTTTGTTATTTACATTCATCAAAATCAGTGATAAAACACGAGAATTTAATCAGAATATCAATTACTGCAATATTATTGGTACACAATTGGAGAAGAATGCACTAAATAAGCGTTTTTATTCATGAAATAACAAAGAATTTATAAATCGATTAATTTACTTTCCAAATTGTTAATTGAATAAATATTTTTGCAGAGGAGAAATGTTTGACAACCGATAGCGAATATTTCGTGGAATAATGTCAAACAGAAGAGACAGACCAGCCGCTGGCTTCGTAAGTACAGCAATTCATTCAAAAGAAAATTCAATTTTGGGGATTTTTGAGGGTTTAGGGGTCAGAAAAGCACTCGAAAAAGTCTTTGAGTGCACACAAGTTTCCTCGTGACTTGAAAATGTTGCAAGACCTCTAGATTCCTCTCAATTGAATGCTCAGCTGGCGAATCGTTCGCTAGTTGCTGAAGCTTCGTCGAAAAATGTTGATTAATTTAACGAACAATTTCTATATCGAATTAGCGAGCGTTTTGTGTAGCCCCGAGTGAGATACTCGGCTCAGTTACTCACTGTCGGTGTAACGGTACGTTAAAGACGCCTCTGGGCAACAGAGTAAGCGTACACTGTACTGAGATATTGGCGTGTAACAATCTTCGTCCTGGAAGTGCGGTCTTTACCTTCTTCATGTACCCGTGACCCTCTTTATACGAAAAATCATCAACACGCTTGCAATCATCATCTCTTCGCCCCAATTCCCCCCACAACGAAGACGTTATTTCTTTACAGTGAAACCGGGTATGCCGAGGAATGCGAAACTCATACTCGCTATCGTCCAATTAAACAGCATTCTTTCGTGTTTTTTTTTTTTTTGTAAATTCTCTCGTTTCCTAAACTGCTTTATTTTTCAACTCCTCTAATTCTGCTGGCGCCTGCATTCTATGAGGTTTGAGGAGAAGTAATGCGAAACTTTTGCGTGGAAATGCAGAGAAAATGATAGAATGTGGGCGATAAGATAATACTGGTGGCACTGCTCGTGGGAAAACATTGGAATATTTACAAAATTAGTGGTTGGGCTTGGTTCTTACGGTATTGGGGGAAATTTTAATTTTAGAGACAGTTTAGAAGTCATTTTCAGGGATATGGAGGAAATTTAAAGAAATTCATTTTTAGGGATATTATGGAAATTTAAAGGGATTCCAGGTTTTTGAGAAAAGCGAGACGAGAATTGGTCAATTTCACTAAATGTTTGATTAATCGACAATTCAAGACGATTTTTTATTCTTTTCCGTGAAATAATTGAACTGAAATTTATACTTTTCATTAATTTTTTCCATTGACTTTTCCATCAAATCATGAATTTTCAATGCCGAAATTTCTGAAAGTTTCAGTGAAACCATCACTGAATAAAATTTTCAAGAAAAGTACCACAATTTTCGTGCAAAAATAATTAAAAACACCAATCGAAATAATTATTTGACGAATTTTTTTCCTGATTTCTATTCATTTCCGTGAAATAATTGAACTAAAATTTACAGATTTCATCAATTTTTTCCATTGACTTGTCGATCAAATCGTGAATTTTGAATGCCAAAATTTCTGAAAGTTTCAGTGAAACCGTCACTCAACGAAATTTCCAAGAACAGCGCCAATCGAAACAATGATTTGACGATGAAATTATCCCAATACATTAGTAAAGCCGACTTGAACCCCATTCCGTCCTTGGAAATTGAGCCAAAACTAAAGTCTCGCTCCACGAAAAATTTGCGTGATAAGGCGCTCCCAGATAAGATAATCCCCCAATTTATTAAAGATTAAAATCCCTCATAAGTGCGAGATACTCGTCTTTGAATACCTCCATCCAACATTTATAATCGACCGATTGAACTCGATAGATACGCCTGGAGCCACCTGTTCGAGCTGCACCAAACGCAGCCACTTGCTATACTACCCGCCTACCCCACCTCCCCAACAACGTGAGCCTGCAGCATGTGATGAATACGTGCAGACCAGTTTTAGAATTTTTTTCCTTCACAACTGAGTGCATGAAAACATTAAAGACATTGAAACACGAGTTGACCATCATTCGAGTTAGTGTTAACGTCGTAATCGTTTTTCCGGTTGAAAAATAGGGCATTCTAACATGTCAATTCAGAGGCGAAAGAGTTGGTACAAAACTGCGGAAAAAGTGAGTGATAATTAATTGTTTTTCACTGGGAAAAATCGGCAATGCAATGCAATGGCTCGTAAAAATAAGCGCCCTTGGGTTTGGATTTTTCAAACGTGCGATCATTTATTTGTGAAAATAAAACATTTGGCATTGGTGTCAGCCTGACGTCATCACCAGTATCGTCCTCGCACTAACATTAATGGTTTTTTTGTGGAATAAGAGAACGAGTCACTTGGAAAAAGACTTCTTTTCTGTTTTCGCAAACTGGTATTTAGAGTTTATTATTAAAGGTCGGAGATATGACGGCACATTTTGAATAGGAAGAATGCTCAACAATGCGGTGTTATTGGTAAACAATGTTTGAGCATTATTTCGCACCCGGAAGTACAACGTGATGACAGAATTCATTCATTTCTTGGGTTGGGTAATGAATTATTTGGAAATTCCTCGGTCTGGTGATTATTTGAAGACGATTAAGCTGTAGGTTCAGAGATTTTTAAATTATATTCTGTGAGAACATTTAAAAATTCGTTTTATTTTTATATTTCCGGCTTATTAAGAAATAGTGGGAATCGCTCGGAGTTTTGGAAATCTATTACGATTTTATAAAATGGTTTTTTGGGTGGAACTGATTGTTTATAAATTTTTATAATTTCAGTTATCAATCTATTTCCCCAAATTATGCTATAGGATTTTTTTTTCAAATTTTAAATGTTCTTATTAAAGATTTAACATGGAAATAGCTGGAAATGTTGAAAGACTTGACTATTATCGCATCTCTTTCCTAGTTTTCCTCAAAAACAAACTTTCTACTTCTTCGGGTTAATAAAATATCTCCCAGCGACTGAAAACACAGATTTAAATTCAGAATTTCAAATTGGAAAAACATAAAATCCTTCAAAAACAGTTTGAATGAAAGCCCTGATGTTTATCTAAAACATTTCAAAATACTCCATCGAAGAAAACAGTCAAATCACTTGAATCTCCTCAAATAATTGCCGTGACCAATGACAATCGAATAAAACTCGGGAATACGTTTTATCCATTATAGGTATCAGCTATCTGGATCAAGTGTAAATTGACACCCAAGTTGATTGATTCTCTATCACACTCAGCCCATAAATGTGTTATTGCACACACGAGTGGTGGATCAAAGTGGTGGGAATGATCCAATGGAAAAAAACGCGAGTAAAAAAAAATAAAATGAAAAAAAAGGAATAAAGAGGAATTAAGTTCGATTTGTGGGGAAAGTACCAAATTTTTGAGATAAAGAAAGACAAGAATTTCCAAATTTCGCTTAATTTTTAATGAATTAAAAATTCAAGAAAGTATTTTCCCAATTTCTATTCATTTTCGTAGAATATTTGAACTGAAATTCATCATTTCCAGTGAAACTATGAATCATAAATAATAATAATAATTATTATTATTACTATTCTCATGGGTTAATTAATTAATAATTAATAAATCCCATCAAATTCTGAATTATCATACAAAAAATTTCTTGAAATTTTAGTGGAACTGTCGCTTGACAGAAATTTTGAAGAAATATACCAAAACTTTCCTTCAAAAATTGATAGAAAAATTATTTGGAGATGAAATAGTTCGCAACATTCGATTTAGGAAAAAAAAATCATGAAAATGTCAGTGGTATTATACCCACGAGTGGTGGATTAAAAAGACTGAAATGATTCAATGAAAACAAACACGAGAGCAAACAAAATTGAAATGATAGTAAAAAATGGGAATAACGAAGAGAAACGAGAGCATGGCAATTTTTTCTGTCGTGCACCGGAGGCGTGTCGACGTCGGAGTGACGCCAGCTCCCAGGATTACCTCATCGACCTTTATGCCACGACGTGACTCCTCTCATAGCTCACTCGCAAAATCCCCCAGCATCCTTTCATTATCATCTTTCACTTTTCATTGTTCCATTGAACAACTAGTCCATACCCATTTTCAATAATCAACCACCGTTCCCAACTCTCTAACCACAATCTATTAGTCATCATTATCACTTTCTCCGAATGATCAGTAGCACGAGCAATACTGAAACAATTGACGTAACTCGATTATACCAATTTAATATTCAAACAAATTCATTAATGACATCACGAATAGCCAGGATTGAATAACCGATTGAATTATTTGTTTTCCTCGTCCTGGAATGCCTGACCCGGTAATCTCACGGGTTAATACGTGAAATTCCAGTCTCAAAACTCGTTCCCTTGATAAAAGCCTACCCAGATGAAAAGCTGTTTCTCGTGGCACCGAAAAAAAAACATCAACAACCGAGGGAAAAAATTTCAATTCCTTATTTTAATTTTCTCAATGACCGTTATGTTAATCTTCAGTTACACCCGTTAATATTCCATCCCGTAAGGAGTACCAGGGCCCATTCTCGTGGTTAAAATCCCTCATAAACATCGGAACAACGTATTAACATTCTCTCGTACGTTGACACCGCGCTCAGAAAAATGACACGTTAATTGAAACTTCTGTTCATTTGGATGGGTAAACTTTTTTATTTATCTCAAGGGAAATGTGTTAATTATGGGAAATTAGTAATTCATTCGTCCCAAACAAATCCTTTGTTTGATTCGAATGGAGAATTATTATTTTATTTTTTAATAATATTTGGAGCGAAGAGATACTTGTTTATTTTTCAAATTTATTTCAATGAAGATATTTCAACTACATTAAATAAATCATTCTCTTCTCCATCCAAACAATAATTTACTTTTAAAAAATTATGAATTTCACGTCAATAAAATAAAAAATAAAAACGAAGTATGAATAAAAGTTTCATTACGCGTTATTTTAATAAACGGATTTGCTTGATATAAAATTAATAATTTCTCTGGGTAATTTAATCCATTTGTAGGTCTTGTTTCCTGTATTCGAAATTGCTCAGATCATTGATTATCTCTGATTTTTTGAATAACATTTGAGTCGAAGAGGCACTTATTTATTTTTTAAATTTATTTCAATGAAAATATCTCAACTATATAAAATAAATAATTCATTCTCTTGTCTATCTAAACAATAATTCAATTTTTAATTACTAAAATCTTCACTTCGATCGAAGAAATATTTTCACATATTTCTTAAAAACTATCAATTTCATGTGAACAAAATAAAAAATAAAAATGCAATTTAAAGGTTATTTAAATGAACGGATTTACTTGATTCAAATTAATAATTTCTCTGGGTGTGCGCTATCTCCCCCCATTGTTCGATCCTCGCCATTTAATCCACTCGCAGGTCTCGCCTCCTCCATTCGTAATTCCTCAGATCATTCATTATCTCTGATTTTAATTTTACTTTGTATTGGAACACCTACGCCCCGGTGATTCTGAAGTTACGAAGAGCGGGGGGGGAAGAAAGCGAGTTGGCAAGAGGCCGTGGAGTCTGGTTGGAGGTACTGAACCAGTCTCGATCGGTCCACTCTTCTATGCGGAACTGACCTCGCTATCATCCAGGAATCTCTCCCGTTCTCTTCCGTTTACTCCGGCATTGCTTCACACAAAACTCTCACAGTTTCCACATTTTTCGATAGACCCTGAGTTTCTAATATTTTCACCAATAAACTGATGATCTCCTCAGTACGGATTTCACGATTTTTCACGGATTGAGTTCAATGATTTTTCGTTAACGTGCCAAGTGATTTTTCATCGTGATAATGTCATGCATGTGTTGGTTTATTGTCAACTGATAGCATCGTGTGATTTTTGTTGGTGTGTTTTTGTGCTCAAAGTGTCATTGTTATTAATAACTCGGTGGATTGTAACGGATATAGGGTACAGGGGAATTAGTAATGTGTGGTAATGATGGATGATGATGTTGCGCAAAGTATATCGTGACAGGTCTATCAATCTGGCAGGATAAGTTGGTTTGATTGTAGCTAACGTGTGCTGTGTGATGCTTCTTCCAATTCGTTCAGTCACTCAATCTATTTGGAATAAAAATGATTACGGAATGGGTGAGCTCAACAATTTATTTACGATTAAGTTTAATTTTATTTTTGATTATTAATTACATTGGGGGTGAAGTCCCAATGATTATTTGATTTATCTAATAAATTCATTTGCCATTTTTCTATTCATTTCAACGAAAATACTTTATTTATGTGAAGTAAATAATTGATTAATGGAAAATCAATTCTTTAATGGAATCAAATAAAATATTTGGATCAAGCAGGGCAACTTTTGAGAGAATGCATGAGCTCAACTACTCATTTACGATCAGGCTTATTTTTAGTCTTAATGATCATTGACATTGAGGATAAAGTAGTCCTGACGATCATTTAATTCGTCCAGACAGTTTCGCTGAATGAAGCTAAATCTTGACATCATGTGTTTATTTCTGGAGCTTTGTCACTGAATGAAACTGTTTAACTTTATCAATTGCGGTTTAACAATATTTTACGAGCACGTTGGGATGAAGAGAAAAGGCACAAGGACGTCTGAATCACACGGCATTTCTCTCAATGCCAGGATATGTTAATTATTGAACATTATTTTATAGTGAAAAATTTTTCATCGATCATGCTGTTACACAGACTTGTAAGGAGGCATAAACTTGATAAATAGAGTACATTAGCACTCTGGCCCCATTGTGTTCCCGATAAGTCTAGTGCCGGTCCTGTATGCCACATGAATCACTAATCAATAATTATGAAAATGCTCACTTGTTGTTGCGGCAGAACTATAGCTCGACGTTTTTTTTTTCTACAATTCACCGCGACATTCCGATCTCTCGGGGCCTAGAGTCAACACGTTATTTTCCGCGATGTATTTGAAATTTAAAAAATGCTAATGTCGAGTTTATTCATTCATTGATTCTTCGTCGCGAGTTGAGTCTCATTCGAGGCGATTTGTCACGTGAGAATAGTGAAAATTGTTGAAAATTGTGCTGTTAAATGCCCTTTTTTGAATAATGAGGTGTACACCTAATATATCGGCGTGGAATTTCTTCGGGGTGTGTTATTTATTGACGCAAAAAATGAGAAATCATTGTGCAGATCACTTGTCTGACAAAAGAAGTGCAAGGGTGAAAGTCATTGTATTCTAAACGTTCTGAGAATTTTACCATTGCTCAATCAAGTTTCTGAGTGATCTTTTCTATAGAAAAAAGTTGTTTGCACAATCGATAGTTGCATGACAATGCAAAAATGAAACGTAATGAATTCAGTGAATTAGCATGGGCTTGGAATAATTGTTGTGCGTTTTATTGCAGCTGGATACATGGTTCGGAAGGCCCAAGAAATCCGGTCGTGGGGGTGGGGTCAGAAGTGGCACTGGCTTCAACACAATCCCCCGGCCAAATTCCGGTGATGATTTTGATGAGATTGAACAGCAACGGGCCATTATCGAGAGAATGGATGAGGAAACGGTCAATGAGAAGTTTGAGGAGATGCTGGTAATTTATATTTATTTGTGATGACCCCGAGGGGCACTGTTTAATTGATTAATTGGAATTCGAGGGGAATTAGGATCAATTGGGAATTATTCATTGATTTATCGGGGAGGGAAGTACGTTACATTGGATTGCAACAGTGAAGTGGTGATGAAAGCTGCTCTCGTGCGGAGAAATTTATGAGGCACATAATGGCAATTAAATTACAATGAATTCATTACAGAATCAGCTATTAATTCGAGTGAAAATTATTCCATTATCGTAGCATTTGTTAATTTAAAAATTCAAATTTATGATTGTCTTGTGCATTTTCATCTCTCAATGATGATTTGTAAGCAATTAATTATTGCATTCATGGTAAAAAATATTATAAAGGAGGTAATGAAGTGTTTGGATTTTTTTTTCAAAGTTGGAAATAACTTTTATTCTTAATTATTCGCTATTTTCAGGCGAATATGAATTTAAAGGAGGAGAAAAAGGAGCCGTTGAGACAGCAGCCAGACGCTAAGAAAAAGGAAATGCTAGTTTTACACTACAAAGGCAGTATTCAAGAGAATCGCTCAAAATTCGACAGACCAGCCGATTACATTCAGTACTTGGCACAGCCTGATTTGAGTGTCAACAAAATATACAATTGCATCGAGTCACTGAGAATTGCCCTCACTAATAATCCACTAAGCTGGGTCCAGGAATTCGGTACAAAAGGATTGAAGCAAGTGTTGGCAACTCTCAACGAGTGTTACAGAAAGTAAGTGTCCATTATCTTTTATGAACAAAAATTTTTGCATAAATTACGGCTGTTTGTTTTATATAATACTGCCGATGTCTTTCTAATTCCCAGCCACTGGGTTTAATGGTACTTTTTTTCTATTTAATGCGTACGTAAGTGCTTCTGTTCATCACGATAGGTAAATAATTATTTCATTATGATGTATTTTTCGATGAATCTCGGGATGTGACTAAGTTATTCAATTTTACGGGCATTTGTCATCATTTTCACGAGAGTATTGATGATCTCATCTAATGAATGGGAAGTTCATGACATTATCATGTTGAAATGTTTAATAACGAAGAATATTCTATTGCATTTCAAGTCGAAGGCTTGCTCATATATTCATTTTATTTCACATTAATTTTATTTCTAAGTGAATAAAGTTTTTTTTTTCATTAAGAAAGCAATTGTTTATTTTTAGAAAATTAATATTTCTCTGGATGCACGACAGTAAAAAAAATCAAATTCAAACAAAAAGTCTATTTTAATGAAGAATAAATTTTTTCAATAGTTATTCTCATAAAACTAATGCAAACGTTCTCAGCACCGCACAATAAATTCCATAAAAACATCAAATGAATAAATTCTGACGCAGTTGTATTGATTTCCAGTGACAATCGTTACGAACGAATACAGTACGAATGCATAAGATGTCTAAAGGCGATAATGAACAATACAGGAGGAATGAAGGAGATGCTGGACCACCACGAGGCATTGACAATTGTAGCCCGTTCCCTCGAGCCCAGTAAGCCCTCAGTGATGTACGAAGCTGTAAAAGTACTGGGTGCAGTATGTCTAATAGACAGTGACAGTCACAAAAAGGTACTCGATGCAATAACAATGAACGGAGAATTCAAGGGACGCGAGAGATTTCTCCCAATAGTTCAGGGCCTGATGAACAAGCAGAATGAGAATTTGCGAGTTGTCTGCCTGCAACTGATAAACTCCATAATATCATCAGCCGACGATTTGGACTTTCGATTGCACCTTCGAAACGAAGTCATGAGAATTGGTCTGGCGGATATACTGGAGGCACTGGAGAGAGACGAGTCTGAAGACCTGACAACACATTTAAAAATCTTCAATGATTACAAAGAGGGTGACTACGAGGAATTTGTCCAGAGGTTTGATCACGTGCGTTTGGAACTTGACGATGTGAACGATTGCTTCGAAGTGGTGAAGAACATGGTGATGGACACAATGGCGGAGCCCTACTTTCTCTCCATTCTCCAGCACTTGCTTTTCATCAGGGACGATGCCCTGGTGAGGCCAGCATACTACAAACTAATCGAAGAGTGTGTATCACAAATAGTGCTGCATCGTTCTGGCTGTGATCCAGATTTTTCAGCAACAAAACGCTTTCAAATTGACGTACAACCCCTAATCGATACCCTAGTTGAGAAATCGAGAGCCGACGAGGAGAGGAGACTAGTCGAAATGTCCCAGAAGCTTGAGGAGGCGATATCGAGTAAGCAGGAGGCTGAGGCCAAGCTTCAGCATGCTGAGAATAAAATCCGAGAGTTGGAGTCTGGTGGTGCTAGGGTGGCACCCAAATTGGGAGGGCCACCGCCACCACCGATGCCAGGTATGGGTGGTCCACCACCTCCACCGATGCCAGGAATGGGTGGTCCACCCCCTCCACCTATGCCAGGAATGGGTGGACCACCACCTCCACCGATGCCAGGTATGGGGGGCCCTCCACCTCCACCTATGCCAGGCATGGGGGGCCCTCCACCCCCTCCAATACCTGGAATGGGCCCTCCCCCACCGCCTGGTGGTATGCGATCACCTCTTGCTGGGGCTGTTCAAGTGCTGCCACACGGTCTTAAGCCGAAAAAGAAGTGGGAAGTCGATGGGCCTCTCAAGAGGGCCAATTGGAAGGCCATTCTACCTCAAAAATTGAGTGAAAAATCCTTCTGGGTCAAGGTTCAAGAGGATAAACTAGCTAGTCCAGATATTTTGAATGGTTTGGCACAGAAATTCTCGTCAAAGCCAGCCAACAGGAAGATCGATGATGTTGTGGACAAATCAGCGACGAATAAAAAAGTCAAGGATCTCAAGGTACTGGATGGCAAGGCTGCACAGAATATACTTATTCTTCTGGGGGGTACACTGAAGCACATGTCTTACGAGGAAGTTAAGAGCTGTCTGTTGAGATGTGAGGGTCCAGTGATCTCTGATAATGTTCTCCAGGGTCTCATTCAGTATTTACCACCACCTGATCAGCTTACTAAGCTCCAGGCCTTCAAGGATCAGTACGATGATCTCACTGAGGCTGAACAATTTTGTGTGACTGTTGCATCAATCAAGAGGCTCATGCCAAGGTTAAGATCGTTGAGTTTCAAGCTGAGGTATGAGGAAGTTGTTCAGGATATTAAGCCAGACATTGTTGCTGGCACAGCTGCCTGTGAAGAAGTCAAGAGTAGTAAAAAATTTGCGAGAATTCTCGAGCTCATTTTATTACTCGGTAATTACATGAATTCAGGGTCGAAGAATGGACAGGCGTTTGGCTTTGAAATTAGCTTTCTCACTAAGTTAACTAGTACTAAAGATGTCGAGAATAAACAGACGTTGATGCATTATCTGGTGGACACTATTGAGAGGAAGTTCCCGGAGTGCTTGAGCTTTGGGGAGGAGTTGTTGCATGTCGACAGGGCCAGCAGGGTCTCGATGGAGAATATTCAACGCACGTTGAGACAGATGGAATCGAATATCAAGAATTTAGAACAGGATCTGGCTAATTCGAAAATACCACAGAGTGAGCAGGACTGTTTTATTGAGACTATGGCGCCTTTTGCCAAGAAGGCTAGGGAGTCGTTCGAAGTTATGCAGAGTATGTACAAAAATATGGAGACACTTTACACGGATATCTCGGACTTTTTCGCTTTTGATAAACAGAAATACACGATTGAGGAGTTCTTTGGGGATATCAAGAAGTTTAAGGATGATTTCGTGGTAAAGTATTGATTAATTATCTGTGATATTTATTTTTTAAGGTTTTGAATAATTTCGTGATAGACTTTTCATTTTACATTTATTTTTAACGCAAAAAAATTTTCTGTAGCTCTCATTTTATTTTACTGTATTAAATTTTTAATTGAGAAAAACGAATCGTTTCAGTTTTCTGAGAAACAAATTGAAACGAAATGAGACTCACTTGGAAAAAAAATCATAAAATGATGGGGAAGATCTAGTTTGTTCCTCAATTAGTGAATTAATTTTTACGAAATTCGTAATTTCTAAAATTGATGAATAAACGATACGTGATGATTAATTTTTCAACTCCCTCGGATATTTGTAGCAAAAAAAAAATCATAAAATAATCAGTCTGATCTAGTTTTACCCTTAATCACTGAATTAGTTCAACTGAAATTAAGAACTAATTGGGATTTCAACAATAACCCAAAATCTATATTTCCAGCAATCCCAAAAAGAAATAATAAAGCTGCGTGAGGGTGAGGAGAAACAAAGAAGAGCGCGTGAGGCACGTGAGAAGGCTGAGCTCGAGCGTGCAGCACGTGCTGCACGTAAACGTGCCCTAGTAGATATGAATGCCCACGAGACCCAAGAGGGGGTAATGGACAGTCTGATGGAGGCCCTGCAAACGGGCTCGGCATTCAGTCGTCCTGATCAACGTAGAAAGCGCCAAACTCGAGCCGCTGGTGGTAAGTGCAAGCTCATGAGGACTAAAGATGCTACTAAAATACTAAAATGGAATGCAAATGATCAGCCAAAGCTCTTCGACGGTGCCCTGGCTAATTCAGCACAGTTAATTGCCTCAGAATCAGAACTGGGGAATTTAGTGTCACCAGTGGGTCCTCTACCCTCTCTATCCACAGCCCTAAACTCCTGTCACACACCCCAGGACAATCAGTCCGAGCTAAAAGGCAGCCTCTTGGCCGCTGCCAAGAATGCCCCGAGACATGACAATTTCATAACTAGAGTCTCGTCATTCCAAAGAATTCGACGTAAAGCTAAAAACAGTCCCACATACCTCCCAATTGACAATTCCCTCAAGTCTCCGATGTTCGGTAAGACTCCTCACCGTGCAATTCCCATAAAAGTCCAGAAAAATCTTCGTAAAATCAAAAGAACCGACAGCTGTGACTCCACTGCTGACGTAAAACTCACAGTCTCACCTAAACGCAGAAATTCCACTGCCTCATTGAAAGAAAAAATGTCGAAAATGTTCCACTTAACGATCCCTTATGACTCTGTAATTGCGGAGCTCAAAAGAAAGTCCAGTGAGAGACTGTGCACACCTAATAACACTCCCTGCCAGACACCTGTTATTGTTGTCAGTAAACCGTCGTTGTACAAGGAGACTCTCCTGGTTGAGGCGAGAAAGGTGACGCCAGTTAAACAACGGAGAATCATCGTTGGTAAACGTGGGAAGAGGAATAGTATGGTGAGGAGGGCTGTTGTCAAGAGGAAGAAGCAGGTGAGGAGGCGGCGAAGTCTGGGGGATTATTTGGGGAGTCCACCGAGCATGAACTCGTCGATGCCAGATCTCATTGTTCCCTCGACACCCAGAAATATTGCTGAGGTTGAGGGCTCCTCCAAGGGGCATTCGTTGTCCTCGGAGGACGTGAGGCCCAGGAACCAGGGGAGGAGCTGTGGACTACTCCCCAGGACCAAGAACTTTGATGACATCAGCAAGGCTCATGACGAGAATCAGAACAGCATCGTTGTCAGGGACAGCATTGATTCGGTTTTTACTTCGGCTGAGGGAACGCCCAGGAGACTCGATGTTACTAATGAGGTGGAGGGGCGCAGTCCTGGGGGAATCAGTGGAATAACTCAACTGTCTCACGTCAACAGCCCCTACTTCTCAGCGAAATCCACCAGCAGCATCACTGGCTATCCTGTTACACCAATCAATGTTAACTTGAAGAGGAGTGTTACCTCACCGAAAATCGAGACTGTTTATAAATCCAGTGTTTTGCCGATTGATGAGAAGAAAAAGTGGAGATTCTGGCGCACGCCTGGGACTGAGGACACTGTGGTCACCTTGAAATATAATAAGTTGAGAGTGAGTGATGGGGATATTGTTAGTAAGGTGAAGGGCTTTGTCAATAGGTTCAAGAGCCCATCGACTGATGATTGATGATTTTTGTTGTTTTTTATACTGATGATTGATTTTTTGTGAATAACTGGTACTTTACGGGTGATTTTATGAAATAACTGTGGAGCTTTGTAGAAGTGCAAAACATTAATTTAGGATTTTTTAAAATGATTTTTAAAAATGATATTTTGTATTCAACGATTTTTGTATATTAAATTTTTATTAAATGCATGGTGATTTACAAAGAATGCGTGAGTTAGTTTTGATTCCGCTGTGATTGGGCGCGTTTTTGGGGGCTCGAGAGATAAGGAAGAATCGAAATGATAATTGTAGTGGCTTTATTTGGGGAGTTATTGAGTATGGGGTGAGGGATTAGGCTTAATCCCTTATTTCTCGATCGGTAGTACAGCAATGCGAGGAATAACTTTTCCTGTTTGTTTACATTCGGAGGGCCGAGGTATCGTAATGATAATGGCTACAGGTGTCACGAGTGCTGGATTCGAAGAGTTTTGGGCTGATATCCATTAGTTTAAGTGAATCAGAAGGAATTCATCGATTTTTTTGGCGATAGAGAAGCGATTGATTAATTAATTTGTTTTGTTTTTAGCGGAGAGACGTGCACAACTCAATCGGAGTAGATCTCGGACTGGTCTCGTTGGTACAGGACTCCTCGGGAGAGAATTATCCACGTAAGATAATTACCATAGGGGTGGGTGAGGGAATAGGGACATTCCTAATCATCAATATCCACTGATCAAATTCTCTGTTACAAAATTATTTTTCACTTTTTGAAAAAAAAAACAGGGAATTTTTAACAACGTTTTGGTATTGATATTTATATTTTGTTATTGATGAATGAATTAATTTTTAGGTCCACATGATAGTAAAAATCATTAACAATTGTGAAAATTCAGGCAATTGGTTTGAATTTGATTTTGTTGAATACAAAATTTCATAAACGATTTAATCTTAATTAAATTTAAATTCACAGCATTTAAAATAAAAATACATCTATTACTCAATTTTCAAAAATTCTAGCATTTTGGTACGATTTGGATAAGTCGAGTCATATTTCAGTCTTATTGATGATAAAAATGTCCCATTTTACCCTCCTCCCCCCCCCCCCC